GAGCTCTATCCAGAGCTCTTTCTAGGCGGCAGATCACAGATTGACTGGACGCAATTTAGGGAGCGTATTCAAGCTGCTTGGTGGGCTATTCCTCAGGAGTGCATAGATCGCCTTATTCGCTCTATGCCACGCAGGCTTCAGGCTGTACGCCTAGCACGTGGCTGGTATACAAAGTATTGATATGGGGAATCCATATAATCAACTTGTAGATTGATATCATTTAAATTGGTTGAGAAAATCGAGTTTGAATTCATTGCATTTTTTGCCGAAATGGCGGGTGTAGTCAGACTTTTGACCCCTAAGTTTATCAACAGTCTTCAGAATGATATGCCTATTGCCATGGAATGCAAATGCTGCATTAGCCATCCGCAAACATACAAGACCTCTCAGCGAACAAGGTAGCCAACTATGACTCCCTAAAATCCACCAGCAATTCTGGGTGTAAGGGATGCCTGTGATACATATTTCGGCGGTGTATGCCTCTGTATCAAATGATTGTCTTGGGGGTGTCGTAGTGAGGCCGTATCTCTGTTATTATTGGGTATGTCTGTCCTAATGTCCCCACCAAGTAGATCGACAAAGTACTTTGCCTTTTCTCTGGGTATAGGGTATCTTTTAATATCTTTTCAATCCCGTCCAAGATCTTCTATATGCCCAATAGTCAAGTTTTTGTTTTTCTTCCCAAAGGCTCCAAGGGAGGGCGATTCTTCGTGTCCGGAATGTAAATCATCTGATCTGTCGATTTATTTGATATGTGAGGATGCAGGGGTACCGAACAGCTCCGAGATTGATCCTCCTTTCGTACAGAAATCAAACCCTGATTGTATCTTAATAGCATGCTAGTCATAAACTCAATTGAAGATCCGGGTCCCACAGTCTGTGCGGCTGGAAATGTCAACCCCTTGTCCGAGATGGGCCATGCAGCCCTGGCAGTCGTATAAAAGGGGCAACGGGTCCGTATTATCCCACCACTCTCCCTCACCTCAGATATTGATTCTTTATCTCTCTTCCTTTCGGGTTTTGGCATCCGCACACAATTCAACATGAAGTTTTCATTCCTCTCCCTCCTTTCAGTCGCGGCCAGTGTAGCTGTTGCCGCTCCTACCGAGGCAGCGAAAGACCGGAATGTTCCAGTAAGATATCTTAAATCAATCCTGCAGTCTTATCTTGGTACTGATTGGAATCCCGGTAGTTCAATAATCGCGCTCTTGGTCCCCTCAAGCCCAACCCCTTCCAGGGCCTGAAATACGAAGGCGCCTGGCAAGTTGGCCGCTATTCCGTTCAAGCCTCGAACGTCAAGACCACCAACAGAAACAAGCTCTTGTTCTACCCAATGACCAACATAACCGACGTCAATGTCCGGGGTTATGTCAGTGTGGACGGGGGCAAGGATAAATTCAACGGAAAGTCTGTGAAACTCGGCTGCAGCGTCAAGAAAGGAAGCAAAAAACAGACAGTTCCGTGTGAAATTCAGATCACCGGAGCTACCCTAGCTAGCCAGAAGTATGTTTCGGTTCAGTATACCAACACAAACGCGTTGCAGACGGTTGATCTTGACGATCTGTATCTTGTGGATTCCTTGTTCTTCCGCATTAAGTCTGCTGGGAAGGATAAGGAGTTGACGGAGAACATCACGCTTCTTCTGGATGACTTCCAGTACGCTATTGAGGCGCGCTAAGCGAGTTGAATACAATATGGTGGATGGCTCGGGGTAGTGAAATCTCGAGATAGGTGTTAATATCATGCTTTTGCTGCTTTCATCCAGTGCGCCAACTTTATACAATGGCTCATGTATATTGCTGAGGCAAATTATTGTTGTAGCCTCCATTTCCTGGATAGATTTAATTTACTTCAACCAGTCTTGCAGCAAGTGCTCAGCGGCGTTTTAGGCTATACCTTTTTATCTGTCTATTTTAGTATAACTACAGTGATCGGCACTACTAGTGCGAGGGCACTGTCCACTTTAGATAGGATGAGGATTATGCCGATCATATTGCCAAAAGTGGACAGAGGCCAGCAGAGAATTTGCGCCCATATTATGGGGATTCAGGGCTATGCAGTACGGCCCCAGACTACAGTACTATTAAGTTCTATCCGCAAGCAATCCGCGAGGATGCCGAATTTATACTGTATAGAACAGGCCTGCTGGGTCAATTTTACGAAGCTGAATCTAGATGAAATCATGGCTTCCAAGGCTCTAATCTCAAGGGACCACTATCTGGTAAGAATTTTGGAAGCCACAAAAGGAGGACCGCAATGTCACTACATTCTACCGGTCCCACGCAGGTAATCCAAATTGGTCCAAGGCCTCAAAGAACTTATCGAGATCAGTCTGTCTCGCGAAGTAACGATAGAACGGGAAGGTAACAGTAGATCCTAGATCTACAATCAGTTCCCCTCTATAATTTTCCTTCTTCACATCGCGAGGGAGGATTTGGCCGCGTTTTGGGACGGAGAAATTTGAAATAATTAGCCGGAATCTTTCGTCTTGACAGCTCGGCGGCTCATCGGCGATAAAGTCCTTCACGATACCCCAGCGGACCTTATGCCAACGCCAGTTATTTCTCACTCGTCCACTTGCTTCCCGAAGCTGTTGAAGCTTGGAGTCAGTGAGGCACATCCATCCATGACACTGCACTGCCCAGTGGCCATTTTCCATGTAGGTCGCAGAGACGAGCAAATGCGCGTGATTCTAACCCAATAGGACTGATCAAAGCGATGGTCTTTTCGTGATATGGCCGTGGGTCCTCGTAATCATAGAACTGCATGCTCAGTTATTGATGACCACCGAAGAGAAGATAGCCACATAGACCTACCAACTTCAGGCAGAGATCTCGTTCATTGTGTTTAAACCGGAAAACAAAGCCCTGTTCGCCCTTGTCGACGAAGACAGGATTGGTGATCGCATCTTTGTAGCCAACAAATCGCTTTAACTTGGGCTTTCTGCTCAGTACTTCGTCAATATTGGTGATTGAGGAGTCATTGGTAGTTTTAACAATCCAAAATGTCTTCTGACATGAATAGACGGAGGAAAAGGTGGTACTGGTGGTCCTGTTGGACTTCTTCCATCTTCAAGTAAGTTTAAGAGCAGTATTGTATACATGGCGCTCTTGTACGAGTTTTTGAGAAAAAGAAATCATCTCTGAACTTGCTTTATACTGTCCAGGTAAAGCGAAGGTGTCTGATGCCCGAGGACTCGGGGACTAGTTAGGCGGCAACACTCCTTAATCCTTAGGCAACTGCCAGTGCCATTTTCTCTCTCAGTCACGTGGTGCAGCATATCCCTAGTACCTACATTCCTTGAGCGAGTGTGCAGATTCTCTACCTCTTGGTGGATCGAGATCTACGACTAGGCAACAAGTGTAACCTTACATGCATTTCTCAGATTACAAGCTATGCGCAGGTCTAAATGAATCTAGGACATCTCAGTGCTATTCTCCTAGAACACGTCCGCAGTGCGACTGCAGTTGTAGACTCAATATAGACCATGTGAAGTATCGACTGACTGCTAAGCAGTGGTATACTCCAAGGTATGACTAGGAAGAATACTAAGAGATTGACAGCTCGAAGCGACAATTATTATGCTTAGAGCATGGGTCAGCTGTTGAACCAATTTTGCTTGCAACTGGCGATCAGCATCAACCATGAAAATCATACACCGTCTGGTCCTGCCTTGCATGAAAAGTCCAGTCGTCGTGTGCACGGTCGTAGCAATCATGAAGCTGTGTTCCCAGTGTCTTTCTGTACCATAATCTAAACAAACAAAATAATAGCCAAGATCTAAACTAGCACCCTCTACACATATTAAAATAGCAGTGCCATTCAAGACTACTCCACAGCATATGGGGCTAGACTGTGCATCAGCAGATATATAATTATAGTACAATGCCTCCAGTTATTTTTTTTCGGGCAAAAGGAATTCATCCCACATCCTTAGCGACCAACGATGCAATCAATGCCTGCATGGAATGGGCGAGAATGGCCGGTACGTTTCCAAATTTCGCACAATGTTGATCTAAGTAGGTCTGGCTTTCCTTTCCTGTCATATCACCCTTGGTATGTGCGTCATTAGTGATTGTTTGCTGATTACAAGGCGATCTTCAAATATCAAACAGGTGAGGAACGTCATGCATGGCCCTGTCAGGATAAATAACGCATCTAGTCTCGGACCGACTCCAAGCGGCAATTTGACGACTAGTACTTGTACTTGGCACCTGCCCCTGCGTCAGGCTAAAGATGCAAAACCACATGTGCCCCCGTCGATGCTACGCTCCTGCAGGTCTGATGAAACATGATGACACATGTTATAATTTGAAGTGATAAATTTAGTTCGGGTTATGCATATCAACCTGGGATGGTGTTTCGGTGTGGGCCCAACCATGATCTCACGGCCACTCGCCAGATGTGTATAACAGGGCCACTCTACCGAAGAGAATGATACGAAGACCATATCCTACGACCCTCTAAATACTATGGAATCAATGATGGCTGAGCAATTGCAAAAGCTTCTCCAAGGTCCTGCTGGCATACCGCCACCGGGCGTGGAGCCCAACCTTTTGGACCCTCCAAATCAACGTGTATCTGGGCAAGCGGCCATACTAATCTGCGGTATAACCGCCTCCATTGCTTTGTTCATGCGCATCTATACCAGGGTATTTGTTATCCGCAAGACCAGCATTTCTGATTGTAAGAACGCGCCAAAGCACACCATTGCCGCTGCTAACTTGACCCCATAGACACCATTATTGTGGCCTGGGTACAGACTCTCTTTCTTCATCCAAAGACCCAGACCAAACTGACTTTGTAGGGGATTTATGTGGGCTTATGCGTCATCTGTTGGTTGGGAAACGATGCTGGACCCGGGGTTGACATGTGGAATTTGCGGCTAAGGGATTTTAGGAGAATGCAATATGTTGGTTTCTTGCCGAAGTCCAGTTCACTTTTTGGATACTAACAGTTGGTGTAGTGGTTTCACGCAGGCTCGATAATATATGGTATACCCATATTCTTCATAAAAGCGTCCATCCTTCTACAGATTGTGGACATCTTTGTGCCTAATAGAAGGAACGACCCTATGTTCTGGATCTGCCATACCCTGATATGGGTTAATTTTATTTACTATCTGATTGGTAGCATCCTGGAAATTTTCGCCTGCCGTCCACTAAACAAGGCCTGGGATCCTCTCATTACGCATGGGTCCTGTATGGACATGTTTCTCCTGAACTGCATTGCTAGCTCAGTGAATGCTGCCTCGGATATTATTATCCTCATTTTGCCACAAACACGCATCTGGAGACTGCAAATGCCGCTGCGCAAAAAGCTTGCTGCATCGGCAGTCTTTTTATTCAGTATAATGTAACGCAATAGTTTAGTTTCTTTCTCTCCAACTCGCAACCCTTCATTAATTGTGACTAATATGTAAGTAGGGCTTGTATTTCGTCTATCGTTTGACTAGCGTTCTCCGTGCGTCTAATGCAAAACAAGGATAACGTATCCTATTACAGCTGGCTAGTAGGATTTTGGCCGCAACCAGAGATATCATCAGGAATCGTTGTTGCCTGTCTTCCAGTGTTGCCCAGGCTTTTCAGCAGCCTGACGCAGGACAGCCGTTTAGCCCAGATGAACAAATCCCTTCAAGGATTTCTTTCCTCATTATCGTTCGGGAACCATACCGGTGCAGGAACCAACAGGACCATAGCCAGTGAGACAACTATCACGTCTTGTCAAGTTGTCCAGACCAAGGACAGTCACTCAGATGACTATCCGCTTATCTCTTTGACGGATGGCAGGCATACGGTGTAGCTCCTGGTTTGGCTCAAGTATTAGGTATTTTCATGATTGAAGCGGAACACATATCAGATGAAGACAGCTATTAACTGAGATAGTCACTGCAACTTAATCTCTCGTGCCAATAAAATGATGGTGACCGAGCATAGTTACTTCTTGCTAGTACAGTCTCGTAGCTTCAATAACGACGGTTAATTCGCCCCCAAATATAGCCAACAATCCTGGGCTTAATAGGGGTTCTAAAATTATATGACTACCCAAAGGGTGGTAACCAGCCCTCTTGGTTGCTTTCCAAGAAGATGAGTCCTCCCTCCCTTTTCTCTTATTTAATTTGATCACTCTCCTACCTCTCGCCATATTTTTCTTTTTTCTTTTCTTTTCTTTTCTTTTTTTTTTTTCATTATCCACTTGGCATATCTCTGGGCTTAAGTGTACCCCCCTTTCCCTCTCACCTTCACCTACCAGGAAAACAGAGACAAACTAATTGGTTATAATTTGAAATATTTACGTGCCTGTCTTCCATCTAACGATTCTTCTATTCCATTCTTCATCATTACACTATGGATGGCTCCAGCGTTCCCACAGAGGCCAAGTCAGCAACTGTCTTCAGTGAGAGTAACACGATCAAAAACCAGTATTTCACAGGCCTGACATTACACCTAATCACTGCCTCGTAAGGGATGACTCTGCAAAACTTATGGCCCCGTTAACTTTGTGTAATGTTCAAACTCTGCATGTGCCTCTTTTTGACGAACCTCGAGATTCCCATTGTCAATACCAGCGCGTTTAGCATCACTCGTGAAATTGGGGGCCTGGATAAGGTGTACTGGATCATTTCAGCTTACATGCTTGGATATGTTGGTAATGAACCTCTTCTTCCCTCAACTAACCTACTATGCTGACGCTTGGGGGTTAGGGGTCCTTGTCATCTCTGCCAAGCTCAGTGATCTTTTCGGGAGAAAGTCATCCTTGATTATAGCCACCTTGATCTTTATGATATTTTCTGGTGCATGTGGTGCCTCGCAAACCATAGTTCAATTGTAAGCCCCTTCAGCATGTGGTGTTCACATTGTCCTGGCAAGTTAGCTAACAAAACCCAACAGGATCATCTTTCGTGCATTTCAGGGAATTGGAGGCGCCGCGAACTATTCTCTCTGTGCTGCAATCATTCTGGAGCTGGTACCATCGGAAAAATATGCCAAGTATACGAGCTCGGTCGCAATCGTATACGCACTTTCCCTTCTTCTAGGGCCTATATTCGGTGGAGCCATCTCTGGATCATCAACGTGGCGATGGGTTTTTCTTCTCAAGTGAGTGGATGATCTGCTAACTGAGTGATCAAGAACATTATTCCCCTAAATGTTTGCACGAACAGTATTCCCCCGGTTGCTCTAGCGGGCATCATCCTCATTCTGGCGTTGCCTAACCGCTTCCCAAACCATCACGCACCGCAAGACGAAAGGAGAAAATTTTCGTTGCAGAAATCTGTCCGCGAAGCCTTTCGCAAGGTCGACATGCTGGGCTCCAGCATGCTTCTTGTTGCCACAGTATGCCTTGTGGCCGCTTTGGAAGAAGCGAACCAAGAGTACGAATGGAAATCTCCATTTACTATTGTCATGCTCATTATTTCCGGAGTGACACGGGTCGTATTTCTGGTGTGGGAAAGACGAGTCACACTCACCTCATCTCAAGTCGAGCCCGTGTTTCCGTGGCGATTCGTCCATAACCGGGTCTGGATGTGAATGCTTTTGTGCGTGACCTTTTCTCCTAGACTCGGCAGTTCAATCCCAGTGACTAATGTATAATGCCAGGAACTCAATTTTCCTAGGTGGTACATGGTTTGTTACTATCTTTCAGCTGCCACAAAGGTTTCAGGTTGTGAATGGATTATCCCCTCTGCAGGCAGGAATCCGCTTCATTCCCTTTACGGTCGCCGCCCCAGTGGGATCTGCTTTGTCTTCTGCTGTGGGTAAAGCTCTCAAGATACCCCTTGTATACCTTGTGCTACTGGCATCCATCATCCAGGTTGTGGGATTTGCGCTTCTTTCCACTCTATCAGCCTCCTTGGCGATCAGCACCGCCCAGTATGGCTATCAGATCATTGCTGGATTCGGCTATGGCATCAACATTAGTCTATTGATCCTGATGACCCCTTTTACCGTGGAGGAACAAGACCGAGGTGTGTCTACGCCCCCACCAGCCCTTAGCGAGCTAGACAAGTGCTTACATCGCTATCCGTTACGCAGCCGTCGCTATGGGGGCTGTGGCCCAGTTCCGGGTCATGGGAGGCTCCATCTTCCTGGCCATTGTGACTTCTGTTTCGAACGGATTTATTCGGTCCCACTTGGGCGGATTATTGGATGATGGTCAGCTTCATTCTGTTTTGCATTCGGCTGCCGCTGTCCCCATGCTACCGTCAGATGCGCAAATTATGGTTCGCACGGTGTTTTCGGAGAGCTACAACCTGCAGATGAAGATCCTGGCTGGGTGTGCGGGGGGACAGGTTCTGGCCTCGTTTCTTATGTGGCAGAAGGAGCAGGTCATCGTATGATTGATTAGTTACCCTGTCTAGACATATCAAGTCCATTGACCGACGGCTTTTTCTGAAGTACTGATGGTCGACTTCAATTAGTCACTAAAGCTGCAAATAGAATCTCTCATTCTCTTGCTAAAAAGAATTGCTCGCTAGGTAGACTAAAAGAAAAAAGGAATTGAAAAGGGGGAGGTTCTGCGGTGGGAGGGACGTGGAAAAGCGCCAAGCCGAGGATGCATTAGGGCTATGGGTCCGTCTAAATAGCAACGAAGGACTAGCACTAGCCCCGAGTCCTTTTCTTTGTTACTGCATACGTGAACAAAGACTGGGTACCAGGATTACGATGGCATTGTATCCAATAAGACGATATCATGAAGTTGGATTGTGATGAACCCTGCTCAGAGAAGTACTCTTTATGGGTTGGGCTGAAATGAAATATACTCTGCTTGTCCCCTCCCCGATTTCCCCTCTCCCAGCAAAGTAGTCTCGATCTCACAGCCCTATTCTCGTTGATCTTCAGTGAACTTCTTCTACCTCCAAATAGCTCCATATATCTTTTACAAGGTTTCCAGTGCAACCTACGACCGCTTCAATGGCTATTACACTGGACAGCGGCATTGCACTTGTCACGGGCGTATGTCTCTCCCCTTAGCGTCACCATGACCCCCCTTCCCTAACGACATATTTGGCAGGCTGCCTCAGGAATCGGCAAGGAGGCAGTCTTTGCTCTCGCCCAAGCCGGCGTAGAAGGTGTCATTCTTGCCGATTTGAACCTTAGCGGCGCTGAATCAGTCGCCCAGGAGAGTCAGAAATGGGCCACTCACTCCGAATTTCGCGCCACGGCAGTCGAGGTGGACGTCTCTGATGAGACTGCCGTGAACAGCATGGTTGATGCGGCAGTGAAAGAATTTGGCAGAATTGATTACTGTATACATTCAGCGGGGGTAAGTCAGAAGAACCGACAATTTTCGTCCAAGGAGACTGACGCTGATGAAACTTGCAGATGGGTAGTATTTCCGGCGCGACAACCGAGCATCTCAAGATTGACGTCTATGACCAGACAATGGCCGTCAATGCTAGAGGCACAATGTTGGTCTTGCGAGCTGTCTCGGCGGCGATGGCTAAACAGGAGCCTCGCATGCACCAGAGTGCCCGTCACGATACTTCGCGTAGCCTTGGCCGTGGCTCTATTGTCGTCGTTAGTTCTGTGAATGGTACCATGGTAGCACCTGGGATGTTGTCATATGCAGCTTCCAAGCACGCTGTAGCAGGTATAGCCAAAACAGCAGGTAAGCAGTCCACCAAAGAACCCTCCTCACACCTTGCAAAGATTGTTAGTCCTAACATTTCGGTTCTCCTCCTATTAGCTATTGATAACCTCAAGAACCATATCCGAGTCAACGTCGTTGCCCCCTTTTACACCGAGACTGCAATGTTAGAGGCTAGCTTGAAGCGACACCCTGAATTGGGCGTTGCTATCAAAGCAATTACCCCATTGAAAAGAGCTGCATCCCCCGAGGAAATCGCGGATCCTATCGTGTTCCTGTGCAGCTCAGCAGCAAGTTACACAAATGGAGCCACGCTCATCATCGACAGTGGAATGACACTCACCATACCCCGAACCAGTCTGTGAGGCTTTCTCGCATAGGTTATGCTGCTGATCTTCCTCATTGTCTATGCTATCTCGTTTCTTTTATGTACCTGGGCAGAAGATTGTATTTTAGTCCGTACTAAGAGTCAAAGCCTGCCTTTTTAAGAGTCTTATAGCTGCTTTGTAACAGTTTATCTATGCAACTATAACATGGGGGTTCATCAACCTTCGGTCTTCCAAAGCGGATCAGAACGCTCGTCATTGCGGAAGGATTGGATCGTCTGCCTTGGTGATATTGGATCCGACAGTGTTTAGAGTGGCTCGGGGCACCCTTGCAATCCCCATTCACCTCACAAGCAATCGCCATGGGCTCAGGCTCCGAATTTATTACTCATGATGGGGCCACTGCTTATATGAAGTACATAGATGCACGGGACGACGTACAGGCAAAAAAGAGAACGGCAGCTGGTGATTGAGGTTCCTGCGAAGGCAGCCCAACCTTCGCTGAAGTCCCAAGCAGATTTAGTGTTCCATCTAGTTCTCGCTGCGAAGCATCATGCGCTCAGCAAGAAGTTGAGCCTTAGCTCAGGTCATTGTTTTTACTCTGATCTGTCTCTGTGGAGGATTCAAGCGCCTGTCTACCTGCGGGTATGAGTGCATGGTGCGTAAATCCCACACCAAACTACTTTGAGTATCCGCACATAGCCACAATAGAGCACCCCGCAGTCCTTTCGCAGTTTACCACAGTATTGACACTGGCAGACATTATTACGATCGATACACCAGCTAAGCCTTGTTGGAGTTCGTTATTTCCGTGGGCTCTTGTGGCTTAAATATACTTCCAGTAGTACCAGCCTCCCTGGGTTACCTAAGGGCGAGAAAACATCATTATAAACAACTAGGGGTTTGATTCTCACGCATAGTGCTTTTCGAGCACTTGTTCAATCAAAATTCAATCAACCTGTGAGAGCCTAATTATTCATACCGCATTCTAAGCGCCGTTTACTTAGCAAGAGGAATCCATGGTCACCGAAATGCTCGACTACCATGTTTACACAGTAGGGTGGATATGTATCGCCTCCACCGAATTGAACGTTGCACGAGGCCTACTAGACGAAGAGCACGAGAACCTGCCACCAAAGCCCAAGGATGGTAATAACTACCTCCTTAGCCGCATGAACGGACACAACGCGGTAATCGGGGTACCCTGGATCCGGCCCCTGCGGCTCTCACAACGTCTTCCACGTCGCTACCAACATGGCGAGGACATTTCCCCACATCCGGTTTGGGTTGCTGGTTGGGGTTAGTGGAGGGGCACCGAGGCCGGCTGATGCTGAGGACCCGTGGAAGGACATTCGGTTGGGAGACGTTGTTGTTAGTGATCCGTAGGGGAGTCATGGTAAGATGTTTGTGGAGTGCCGTGGCTATTACTCAGTGTGCCCTATACTAAGCCGGGGTCAGGAGGTATTCTACACTACGACACGGGCAAATCCAAAAACAATGGAGTGTTCCATATCACATCCCATCTGAATCGACCGCCCTCTCTCATTTTAACTGCTACGCAAAGGCTCCAGTCAGACCACGCGTTCGAGGTAGGACAGATGGGGAACTACATCCGTCAAGTCTACGCTAAGTTTGCTCGCCTCCCAGCCCTAAGGGCATACTGATTCCCGGGCTGGGAGCGTGACTGGTTATTCAGTTCAAGCTATGAGCACACCGGCGAAGGATATTGCTCAAAATGCGACCGTGCATACCTAGTGAAAAGACTTGACCGTGAATCAGACGTCCCAGTAGTCCACTACGGTCTTATCGCGTCCAGGAGCGCAGGGATGTGCTCGGCCCAGCACCGGGATCAGCTGCGTGGCGAGTGGGGGGTATCTTGTTTCGAGAGGGAGGCTGCAGGCCTGATGGAAGACTTTCCGTGTATTGATATACGCGGAATATGCGACTACACTGACGGACATCAGAACAAGGAGTGGCAGCTCTATGCGGCAATCACTGTGGCGGCCTACGCAAAAGATCTTCTGCGTGTGATTCACCCTCAGACTGTTGAAGAGACAGCGAATGTTCTCGAGACTGCTCGTGATGGTGGGTCTGCGGATATGCCATTAAGTTTAGTTTTATTCTTCTAAAATATCCTGACAGTGTCATAGTCTCGCGTACCCTGTATAAGGAGGACCTAGTGGTATCCCAATTGACACGGCCCGTGGACAAATTCCATGAAGAACAGAAGAATGCGAACCTCCTAGAAAGGCTTCACCTACATGATTTCAATCCTGAGCAGAGTGACGCCCTTAGTGAATCCGAGGAAGGAACTGGACAGTGGTTGCTTGTCTTCGTTGCCAAGCGCAAATGCTCTGGCTTCTGTCTAGGGATGTAAAAGACTATACCAAGATGAATTCCGAGAGTTTAGATCTTTATAGAGCCGAGTTTCTTAACAGCCCGGCCATGGCATAAATAAGTTTTGTAATCAGTCAATTATCAATGGCTCCAACCGAATTTTGGTCTATAAGAACCCTTATCACGGAGCGTACCTGGAGCTCGGCAAGCTCCGAGGCCGCGATAAGCCGATAAGACCCGCCAACAAAATAAAAGCGTTCCCCGCATTGGATCAAACCACACCACTAAAACCAACCCACACTCGCAAACAACAACACCAACAACCCCTAGCACAAACAAACAAAAAGAACACCAAGAGAGAGAGAAAGAAAGACCACAATGGAAGGACTCACTCCAACCCAACTAGCCTCCTTCCAAGAAAAAGGCTACCTAGTCCTCCCCGACCACCTAACGCCCTCCGAGATCAGCTCCCTCCTCACAGAAACGCAGCACCTGCTCGACACCTTCCCACTGGACACGCACCCGCTGACGCAATTCACGACCGGCGACGACCTCGACGATAACAAACCGCACGTCGGCGACGACTACTTCCTGACGTCGGGCGACAAAATCCGCTTCTTCTTCGAGCCCGACGCCTTCTCCGCATCCCCCGACCCAGCCACCGGCAAACCCGCCCTCCTGAAGCCGAAACAGCAAGCGGTGAACAAGATCGGACACTCGCTGCACAGTCTGTCGGCGCCGTTCCGGGCCGTGTCGCTGTCGGAGCGCAACGCAGCGATCGCGCGGTCGTTGGGGTTCAAGGACCCCCGCGTGCTGCAGAGTATGGTGATATGCAAGCAGCCGGGGATTGGGGGCGCGGTGCCGCCGCATCGGGACTCGGAGTTTCTGTATACGGATCCGCCGTCGGCGGTGGGGTGGTGGTTTGCGTTGCAGGATGCTGGGCCTGGGAATGCGACGCTCGGGATGTATCCCGGTTCGCATCGCGGGAGGGCTGGGGGGAAGGTGCGGCGGAGGTTTGTGAGGAGGTCGAATGATGAGGGAGTGGTGGTGGGGACGGAGTTTGTGGAGGATGATGGGCCTGGGTTGCCGAGGGGCATGGAGGAAGAGGTAGTGGAGGGGGAGGGGCCCAAGGAGGAGGATGTGGAGGTTTTGGAGGTGAAGGCTGGGTCGCTGGTGTTGATTCATGGCAATGTTTTGCATAAGAGTGAGAAGAACACTAGTGATCGGAGTCGGTTTGCGTATACGTTTCATGTTATTGAGGGTGCGGATGGGTGGAAGTATGATGAGAGGAATTGGTTGCAGCCCCCCGAGGATGGGCAGGGATTTTCGAAGTTGTATCAATGATTGATCGATCGTTACGGGTTGGTTGGGTCTGTGTTTGTATGCAGCTTTATGTGATGGACGTCAATATCATCAATTGCGCTAGTTACATCTATATTGCCATGATACAGTTGGGCGATCCCAAACCCCGAACTCCAACCAGGTATCCAGTAATGCAACAAATCTAGTCAAACATCTGCTTTTATTTTATTCCAATTCCAGTGCAGCGGGGGCTCGATTAGGCCGCCTTCAACATATCCAGCATGCCCTTTGTCTGGCACGCTTGATGAGCCATTTCCACTTCGTCTCGCACGCGTCGGTGCAGCCGGTCAACCAGCTTGTCAATCGTTGCTGATTGGCCCAAGTTTCCTGAATAGATGTCGAGGACGTTCATGGCCACCTCGACGCTCAGCTTCACCAGGCGAGGCTCACTGATGCTCTTGTACACCCACTGCAGCACCGGCTGCAGGGTCACCTCGTCGCGGTTTTGTAACGATGCGCGGAGAGCAGACCGGTGACGAAGTGCGGTCAGCAGAGTAAGTTGTGCGGTCTTATCGCCCGAAGCCAGCACTTGGTCCAGGGCGGCGGAATAGCGGGCCTTGCGAAGGTCGTGCTCCCAGGTCTGTTCCTTCTTCCGTTTGCGATCCTGGCCTTCGATGACAATGTCCACGCCCTCGCCAATGAAATCACGACCACGGAAACGCTTCTCCCAGCCAGAGCCCCGGAGCTTCTTTTGCTTGGCCACTTTACGGTCATGTTCTTCCAACTTGCCTTCCAGCAACGCCTGCATTTCCTTCCTCCGCTCTTTTTCCTTAATCTTCTGCTGGCCAGAAAGACGAGTTTTGATCGACAACAGACCGGACTGCATACCAACTGCGATGTGCTTATCTTCCTGTGCGGGTCCGGAGGTAATGGCGCGGAGCGAAAGAATGGGCGAGGGGTACTTGGATCCGGAGACCATGTTCCATCCAGTGGTCTCGAACACCTTCATGTGGCCGTCCAAAGCACCACTCAGCAGTCTCTCACCATTCGAAGCCAATGCTAGCGCTGTGACGGTCTTCTGGTGACTTTGGATCATATGGAGCGGCTTTCCAGCCACGATATCCAGCACAGCGATCTTGTTATCTGCCGCCGCAAGCACCGTCGTACCCGCCGGCATAGGCAGGACGCTCTCAATCGGGGCGGCCATCTTGAAGGTCATCGCAGACCGGCTCTCCACACGCGGATCCCACAGGCGCACAGTCCGATCGTAACTACCTGACACCAGCAGTCCGGAAGACGCCAGCGACCCCGGCATGAATGCACCGCTGCGCACATAATCAGTGTGTCCCACAAAGGTCTTTACGCTGTTTTCGCTCGGAAGGTCCCAGAGTCGCACGGTGCGGTCGTCGCTAGCCGTGAAAAGAGAGGTCGGGTCGCTGGGTGAGAACTTGCTCACCCAGACGGGCTGCTTGTGCTCTCTCCATGTCTTCAAGATCGCGCGCGAGGTCACATCGAACACCTGGACCGCACCAGTGTCGTCACCAGCAACAAGCACACGACCATCGGGGCGAACGTCTGTGCCGCGTACGGTGTCATCGAAGCGAGTGACGGTGCGAAGGAGTTTCCGGGTGCGAATAGAATAGATCTGGACTCGAGCACCGGTGGTCACGGTGAAGACATCGGGAGGCTGGGTGAGAGATGGGAAGGCGGAGGCGGACGACGGAGCGGAAGGCTGTGTGATTAGGTTGACGGGGCCATTGGCGGGCGAGGGGATCAGCAGAGGGTTCTTAAATGTCTTCCAATATTGTTGCTCTGGTGTCAAGCGAGTCGAGGGCAGCGCCGGCAGCTTGACCTGTTGGAGAGGGACGACGGGGGCAGCCATGGCTGCGATAGGTGTGTATTATGATTAATTCTCGGAGATTGCTGCAATAGTAGTTGACTGTAAGAGCTGACAAACGTGATACAACAAAATACAGCTCATCCACCAGCTGCGTTGGCGCGGCAGGGCGTTGATTGGAATTTTTGTGCTGGTCTGGAAGAATTTCTGATAAAATCGCATCGGGAAAAGTTCTATCGGTCCCGATTGGATAAGCAATACGCTAGTGTGTAACTTATCTTACCACTAGATACTGGATTATATAACATAAAATACCCTCCTCTTTCATCAAATTGGGGATGTGGTTTAGTGGTATAATGTTCGCTTAGCATGTGAAAGGTCCGGGGTTCAATTCCCCGCATCTCCATCTTTTTTTGCTTTTGCTCTTTCTGACCATACTTGCATCCATCATTTCTCTTTTGCCCTTCTTGAGCCCTTCACAGTCCAAGAGTCTTGTTCAAGAACTTCCATCATGTCTCGGCAGGTTTAACAACTAGGTCCTATCCTGCCAACCTACAATAACAACATACAACAAACCTAGCAATGGGCGCAGACCCTTAATGTACACTTACGACAACCGGTACCAACACTGTGATCAATATATATAGCTGACCACTGGACTTCAGCAAAGAATATAGCACTCTCATGGTTATAAAACTATGGTCCCACAGTAAACCACACTGAACCACGGAAATCCGCACACAGTAGACTCGAGAAACCCATTCAACCTTCTAGAACAATCACGTCAGCCCAAAGACCTCCACAAAAAAACACGAGACATAACGTCACCAAGGCCGTTCTTTGTTTGAAGGTCATATCCGAAGACCTGAATTGCAGTACATTATAACCCATCTGGAAAATATACCCCCTGGTTTGTTTCATAGGTGGAGATTGTATACCAACTGATGTTGCTATGATATCATCTATCGCCACACGTTCTTATATATAGAGACAGCGCATCCGTCAGAACCAAAGGGGTTATAACTAGAGGGAAACTACATACATCATCATTAAGAAAAATCACATCTAGTACAATTACAAGCAAAACACATATATCCTTGAAAGTCAAATCTCTACTCAAAATGTCCGAGTCCTACTCCAGCTCTTCGTCCTATTTCTACAGTTCGTCGAGTAGCACTGACGACGGCACCACCGCTACCGGTCAGCGCTATGCTACGTACTCGCAGACCGAGCCGGATGGAACCACAACTGTTCGCACTTACCGTCAAGATCTCGGCGAACCGGCTATCGTGGATGAGAAACGCTATGATCAATCCGGTCGGCAATTGACGGCTGATGACTCTTCAGCTGGGGGAGTGCGCCGCATCACGGATTTGGATGAGGAGGGCGGGGAATCTTATGATTAGGGGTTGGGCTATTCGGGTGTGATGGTCTAATCCTATTTGACAGGAGATTAAACTGAGTGTCCTGGGGAGAAACTCGTCGGGTCTTTATAAAATGACCGGTTAATCTATTTAACGATGTGTATGTCTTGTGTTTAGGCAAATGGATCTTCAATGTCATTGTTAAACATATCTAGCCACTGTCTTACTATACTTTTAGTAAGTGGGAATAGAGGATTTGATCATGTAAAGAATTAGAAATTCTTTCATGTTCAACTAGTTATACTGTAACTCTCTAGCAAGCCAATAAAACTTCTCACGCTAAATACATATTTAACTCGCAATCAATGTTGATCAGTATGAGGAATCTTGGTGATGCATTATCAGTGACCCTTCATCATGCATCATACAAAAGTGACCAAGGTAAGAGACGCGTCAACGCATTCCTTCTCTGTACAACAGTTGTCTTCTCGTTCGGCATGTTTCATTTGCCGAAATTTCAGGCAGAGCGGTGGAGATTAATAGCTAATGCTTCTCGTTCCAATGACTATTGTCAAGCCGAGGATCTCCGTGGTTAGTTCCCATGGCTTTGAATCACTTGTTCGATCTGCGAATCCCCTCGCGAAGCCATAATGCCAGCTCCATTATAATTAAGCTTTCGCCTTCTCCCAGCCCCAAGTGGAAATCGATTCTCGAGCAAATAACAAAGCATCCCGGATATATATATCATTGGCTAAAAACGGCGTAGAAAGTTGTGTCGAAGACAAGAAATATTCAGTAGTAAGCTTCGTATGCAGTCATAAACAGCGTCATTGTTTAAAATCGTCAAGCAGGCGATCATGGTAATCTGACCCGACCCTCGTTCCACCGATTTCGTACTTTTTCCCAGAGACCAGGCAGCTCATAGCCGACGTGGCACAAAATACCAGCCAGGAATCCAATCGCATCATTCTTAAACCCAACCAGCAGCCCCACGGTGACCATCATGACCGTCCATCGTCTCTTGCGGTCTGCATCACTGAGCATCGGCGCAATATCTTGTCTGGCATCACCCAAAATTCCGAAATTGGCCTTCATGATGTCCCGGGCCCCCGTGGTATTGAGACTCTCTCCCACGCTGACCAGCTCCAGTCCTGCAGCAATCACCATCACCCCCAACAGCGCCGAAGGGAACCGTTTCAACAGGCCCACCAGACTTTCACCGAAAAAGATACCAATTACCAGCTTCAGGAAGCCCAGGAAGATCACGCTGGAGCCAGACCGAGCCCCGAATCGGTACTGGGCTGCCAGCCCGCCAGAACCGTGACAAACAGGCATGGCGCCGAACCAACAGCCTATCAGGTTCATTGCGGCAACGCTGAGCCCGATAGACGTGACTGAAGGCGTACGTACATTCGGGATCAAGTCGCCCGCAAGATGCACGACGGCAACGATGGAGTTCAGCGTCGTGAGCGGAATCTGCCCGACACCTGCATCAAGAGCACCCACGGACCACTGTTCGGGAGTGGGGACGACGGTATAAGGATGCCAGAACGTGAGAGACGGCAAGTCGGCTACCAGTGCACTGCGGATGATGGCAAAGAGGATACCAAGGAGGAAAACTACTAGCGCATAGGGCACCTTGCGGTAGACATTGGTAATGATGAGGAAGACGAACGCCGCGATGGCCCAGATCCGGTTATCCGCCCATGACGGCCCGACCCATCCAAGGGACGACAGGATATTCCCGCAAGATGCGATGACGAGGGATAAGCCAGCCCCGACCTGGATACCCTTGATGACGGGGATAGGAATTACGTCTGCGAACCAGTGAAGAAGGCCAGTGACGCTGAAAATTAAAATACACGCGCCGACGAAGATTCCGGCGGCGGCAATGGTGCCATTGTTGAAGGATCTGGCGATTGCTACAGCGGCAATTGCTTTCATAGGCTGCACAGGAAGTGGGATGCCGAAGAACAGACCGGTCAAAATATTGAAGAGCCCCGAGAAGATGAGGGTGCTGGATAGCGAGACGGTACCGTTGATGGCCAGAGCTATGGCGATGGGGAGAAAGGTTCCGAGATCGCCGAGCGATCCCGAAATCTCCGACACATAATTGCGGCGGAATGTCTTGAGATTATGAGTTGAGATCTGACGAAAAGTCTGGGCGGTCATTGTGTCGAAGGTTGTTGTTGACTCCTGGAAGCCAGCTAAGGAAGGGATACTTCAAGTGGAAAAAGACGGTCAGAGATCAGAGACGAAACTGTAGTTCGTGCCAGACTAGTGCGTCATGGGACAACACCCCGCATTATTTCTTCCGCGCCATGTGAGCTTCGTGCCCTACCCCATGTTAGTCGGGGATTAGCTACAGCTTTATAGAAAGGTTCCTTTACAATGAAACTATTTTATCCAGATGCCAAGATGAAGTACATTGATCGGAAGAGTCAAATACTTAGGTATTGAAAGAATTACCGCTAGCCCACAGAAAGCGCGAACTTTCCTCCACATGGGTTCTTGTCTACCGTTGGGACTTATCTCAACCAAACCCATCTCTCTTTGAATTTAGCCAACTTGAACCAGAATATTAGTTAGTATAGGTATAAATCATTATTCCCATATGAAAAGGTTTAACTTACACACGTCAGACTTGCATTCGGCGCCAGTCCCATCTGTATTTGCTTGCTCACAAACTTTGAAGTCCTCAGAGTCACAGTATTCAAGCGCCTCAATATTTTCGCCATCAACACAGTTGAATATGATGTCTACCCAGTTTGCTGTTCTCTCATTTCTGGCATCAGCTGGTAGATTTGTGTTTTTTTGCGCCGCAGATATGATCTGTCCCTCACGGTAACCTATTAAATCCCCGATCTGTAAGTATATTATTTTCTTTTTTTTACTGCGAAAGCAAGAATAAACAGCTGGTTGAAGGGTGATTACCCAGCTGGTCTCTGAGGTTTTCGCCGCAGTATTTCTCATTTGTTTTGCATGCCGCAAAGACGCTTGGGAGTATGAAGGAGAGAGACAGAAGAGTGAAAGAGGGCTTCATATTGGACTTCTCGACACAAAGGCTTCAATAAAAATGACAATGGGTCAGGTAGAAGATGATAACTTTCCTTGGGATAGGCTTTGATCGTATTTATATTGCTTTGCTTTGCTCTGGGCAGTGTCTTCACACTGCAATCCCTACTCGGTGCATGCTGCCTTGATTCCCAAATTGTTAGATCACATCTCAGATGTCCCACTAGATCCACTTCTGAGGAATCTGATCTGATACCTCTGGCAGACATATCTAGTTTCTCATTGGCAAATATTGGCTATGCCCCAATTCGTTCGGTTACTGCATCACCAAAGTACGCTGGGGTCGCCCTGCATATCCCCATAAAGGGTAATCAATACAAAGCAAGGTTTCAATAATGCATTTGATCTTCATTTGTTGATACATCCGTGTTGATCTCGACATCGATCCAGGCTCCTGAGCTTGGGTGCCTCACGCCCTCCCCCTTCCTTGGAGCTATCTTTTTACGACAGGCGAGCGGGCGGACATTTTGAGGGGAAAATTGGTTACAAATGTATCAATGGCGTTGCCAAAATGATTCTATTACCCCCCAGTGGTTGTGAGTGGCTCTTTTGTTCTTGCCCAGATCTTTTATGATCCAATAGCTGATACCTTCTGTCTCCAGCCGTTTTTATTGTGCACGAGCCCCAGTTTGATGGAGACTATGCAACCTGGAGCTATGGCGCTCCTACTGGCGGTGTTCTCTCCTGTGAGTTTGATCTGATTTGTCGTCTCAGCAAGAAAGAAATATACTAATGGTTATATAGATGGCGGAGGTAGGAACCATCATATCCATTATATCACTGTCAACTTGAAACCTTAAAGGGGAAATCATGTTCTCTGAACTGAGCGAGTACATCACGAACAAGAATCGGTTTAGATACGGCAAAGGGGTCTCCTAGCGAGATTTTATTCATTTAATAGAGTTATGTCCAATTTGGTTGAAATGGAATATTTCTTCCGGCAGCTAAGAGACAGAGTCTGTCCGATCCGTAATGATGCCACATACGGACATATGAAGAATTCTAAAACCTGTGAGCGAAGCATACATGAAAGATGCCATGATTATTATATTGATGCACAGGAAGGATTAAGGATATTCCACCATGCCCACTGTTCAGCCTAATATAAATCCTATGATAGCCTAACTTATATAAATATATTTGGCCGTTTAAAATAAACTCTTCCTTAGTTTTATAGGTCAGTTATATTTTTATGGTGTGAATAACTTCCAAAATAATGATAATGTCGACAGATTACAAGATTATAAATCCATCGGAAGTTTAATGCGATTAACCGCCTGGCTAGTCCCAATGAAGCCGTCCCATGGGGTCCCAAATCACGGATCAGACCCGGAACCGGGTCCTTATCCGACGGATATAAATCAACTGAAGACTATAAAGAGAGCTGCAGCACTACTCTGGAGTAATTCGTAAAACAACTACTCTATCTTCACATTGCCCCAGAGTTTTGAACCCTCCTTAGTACACTCCTAGTGGAAATTCAAGTTTATAATTATCATCACCAACATGTCAAACGGTTCGGCCTTCTTCCTCCCACCCGAAAAAGCCCAAGGCCTCGCCAACTACCCGCATGCACGCATTCTCCCCACCAACCCCGCTTCGCGCACCATCCATGTCTCGGGCACATCATCGCGCCGCGGCGATGGGACCTGGGACGGCGTAACTGAACATGCGGATGGAACATGGACGCTGGATATTCGTCAACAGACCGCGGCGGTTCTCCGCAATATTGACACGGTTATTCGTGGCGCCACAGACGGCAAAGGGAGCATTAAGAATGTGGTCGATGCAACGGTGTTCTTGACGGACTTGACCGGTTCCTATCAAGGTATGAATGAAGAATGGAATAAAGTGTGGCCTAATCGCGAGGATGCGCCGGCGAGGACCACAATTGGTGTCAAGGAATTGCCCAATCCGCGGTTGTTGGTGGAGATCAAGTGTACGGCAATCTGTGAATGGTGAGCGAGTATCGATATAGACTGGAGTCTAGATCGCCTTGTTTTCTTTTTACCTTCGCAAATCATGGATGGCCTGGCTAGGGCTCTGCAACATTTGTTGTTTGGTTACTCGATGACTCTCGATTCTATTTTCTGGCTGTGCGGATAGAGAATCTTTCGGTTTCCATGTATATATCTCCAAGACCTATGATTCGAACATCAGCTATACTATGATATGGCCCGTAAACATTAGTAGAGATACGATCTTATCGGCACCATCTTGTAAGCATGCTTGAAGAGATCGAAAAACAGAAGTCGGTCTCTGCCTAGAATTTGAGATAGACTATCATCTCCACAGTTCCCTCATAATAAGAAAAACCTAGAAGACTATAGAATGCCAAAAGAATTATCGTCTTATATGCAAAACAACTATAACATCTATCTGCCCCACTCTCAGCGCTTGTATACATTCTCGCTCTATGATAATCAACAACCCAGATCAATAGGTGGGCCTCACCGGTAGTATCCAGGATAATTACACAATATTGTCACGAGTCCAGCTCAGCTGAATACAGGGGAAGGGAACCACGAGCCTATATCCATTTCCATATCCTGAATTTCATCAGCAAACCTCAGATGCACATTTCCGGCGAGGCACATGCAGATAACTTACAAAATCATCACCGAGAGACCAGTTTAACTGGTTATCAAATACAGCCAGGGTTGATTCTTCATTAGTGGCTGTATTCAACCCTATCCCTGGCTGTGAAAGACTCGATTTCTCAACCCTGTCTTCCAGTATCTTCGAGCACGTTTCAAGAACCGACAACATAGTTCTACTCAACGCTTCGTCGATTGGTCGGCTATGTTCCATAGCCTCAATCTGGGCCAGAAAGCATGCAGACACCAGGTAACCTTTGATGTTCGTTTCACCAGATTCGACCCGTGCCAACATGCAGGAGGTAAACTCTTCGATAATACGCTTGGATTCTCTGTGTGATAAAGGATACGACGTATAGAGAGCTGACACTGAAGTAGTAATCGGCTTCTCCTTGATTCGGACAATCATGTCATCTGCAACCACAGCAGCAGCTTGGGTAGGAACGTCCCGAAAGGATGGCGAGCCGGTGAGCAGCAATGCGGTATAGTCAAGGTCTTCCGGTACGGACTTGCTGAATGGTGCTAAAATACGCATGGATATTTCAAGGGCTACTTTATGTGAGTAATACAACGTCGGGTCAGCTTTTGCCTTTATCGCAAAGGGGTCATGAAGAGCAAGCAGGAAGCGCTGCGTCATCAAGTCGTAGAGGTTTGACTGGAACAGAGTAGGAGATTTTCCACTACTTTTAAAAGCGTCAAATAGGGCTGAGTTTTCGCGGTATATATTGGTAAGGCCTTTGTTAAGCTGCAAAGCTTCGTCATACGAGGCGCCTCGGCGGAAGTCGTTCAAAAACTGTGCAATTTGTAGTCGAATAGGAAGTGATCGTTGTAAAGCTATTTGCAGAGATGTATCCGTAAAGTCTTCAAAAGGCTTTGCCATAGGAATGGGATCTTCCATCTGAGCATCGTCAAGGTTAAGCGGAGGCTCACAGTCGTAGTCATCACAGTGAATTAGAGGAATGCCTCCAGCATCCATACTAGACTGGACAACAATCTCAAGAATTGTATTCCATATTCTTCGTCTAAGCTGTGCATCGAAGAAAGAAATCCCCTTAATGTGACGTGGATCAATATGGAAGCCCATATGCATAGCTGTTCGAAGTAGAGTACCAGCTGAAATCCAGACAAGGTCACTGCTGATGTCACTTGTCTGGCGGGCCAAAAGTAGGAGACAGTGTGTTTGAAGGCTAGTGATATTGAGACGCGATTTCTCGAACGGAGAGCTGAGCCACGTTTGTGCCGTATATATCCACTGTGATGATGTAGAGCGCGGAACATGGTCTTTATCTGGGTCTCCCGACTGGCAAAAAGAGTTCCCAATCGCTAGCATTAGTAAAGTCATGATAATAAACGCCGGGCTGGCTGCCTGAGGGCTTCTCCAGTACTGATCATATTCACGTAGGAATGATGGCACATGTACGATGCGGTAGACAGATTCGAAGGTACGGAGGTACGCTTGGATAAGCCTGTCAGATGTCTCTTTCGGTGGCATGTAATCTCTCAGGTCAGGGCAGATTTTCTGGTGAATTATCTCCTGTGATTTGGCCGTTCTTGCGAGCTGCTTGCATCTCTCGTAGAGAGTTTGTATCTCGGGGGTCTCAGAAGCCTTTCGATAGAACATATGAAGCATGTCATGAACCTTTTTACCTTTAGTCCATGCCATTCCAGTTTACAAGGTAGAGAGCAGTACCCTATATTCACATATAGATCGATGGCTGTTCCCGAAGAACCTCGTCTTCAGGAACCTTCCATTGATTGAACTGTGCTCGCGCACTCTTATGGGTGATTGATTTGGATAGCTATCCGGTGGTTGTAAATCAAGGGCTTCTTCAAGCTTCTTTTCTAGCTGGCGTACTCGATCTGTCAATGATTGAACAAGCGACCCTTCCTGCAAATCTTCAGGCACGTGGGAAACCTTAGAACGTTGAACGGTTGTCGGGTTCGCCAACGAGGAACTCGTGGATTGGAGGGCATCTACATTGAGAAGCCCGGAGAACTGGACATCTTCAGGGCAGTTGGGTAAGTCCAATGGTGGATTGCCACTCGAAAATGACGTGGGGGCCAAATCGATGACCTGATCGTGTGCCACATTAGTTTTCCGATCAGGGTCAACATAATGACAGGATCGAGGGTCGGATCGCCTGCAGCTAGCACACGGGTGGTTTCTATCGCAGCTGGAGCCGAGTGAGAGAATGCCAAACGAGTCAGGGAACAACGCTAACTTACCGGATTTTCCGACGACGACATTGCTCACAGGCAAGTGCTGGGCGTCGGCGTTTTCGCTGAAAATGCGGGGCTGTGGTAGTAGCCATAGAGGCGATACAGAACACAATTGATGGGAAGCTGAGAAGCACTGTGGTCGAGTTCTTAACGTGGATGTCGCTTAAGGCAGAGAAATAGACGTAAAAGACACGCTTTAATGACGGGTGGAGTCCTGTGACCTTCGGCTTTACCCTGTTCAGCACTAGTTGTTGAATGTCAGCCTTCGGAACCCTAAGTGCTCTTTGATAAAAAAGACTAGTAATGATATAGGCCAGTGCCGCTCCTATAATGACTCATTTCAAATTGTCAGATAGTCACACAGTCTCGCTTTCAAGGCTTCAACGTCTTACCTTGCCGCCATATCTTGAAGCCGATGAGTTTCGTAATAGGCCCGGTACACTCTGGTACATAATAGTATCAGAGATTAACATACACCTAGAGTTAATGTAGCCAAGCGCACACAAGATTACCCAAGCATTCCCGACGGCAACTCCCCAGACTGCCCAACCCCCTTCAGGATATTCATGTTGGTTTTCGGAGCCTAAATATGTCTTTGTCAGGGTCTTAAGGTCGGTTTTGGGTGTACGAGTTGCATCTGCTTCAGGGTGGGCAATCATGGGTTAGGCTTATCAGCGATGGAAAACAAACTGGGGCTTGAGGCACCATAGTTGAGAGCAGCTGCCCATTACATACCATATCGAAACAGCCATTCGCACACAATTCTCGGTCTACGGAGTCTACATATTGAATTAAAATCCTGATATGATATTCCCAAGGACAAAACCATCGCATCTATACTCGCTTGCGGACAATACGGCGATCACCACCTGACAAGCTCTTTGCCCACTTCACATATTAGCGGGACTTAGGTACATCATATACAGGGAGCCAGAGTTGCTGCGTATATACTTATTTTAAGGTATGTACACCCATGCCCTTCCTCTACGCCAACCAAGCATCAACCGCCGCTTTCAGGTGTTTTTGCATCCATTCCTCTTCCAACCGAGTCGCGATGTCAAATCCATGGGCACCTTCTCGTAAAGTCAGGATGATCTTATCAGCCTCAGGTTTTCCTTTCATGACCTCGCGTGCCAACTCAGTAAATCTCTGATTGCCTTCGGCAGGCACGATGTCATCTTGCAGTCCTTGGAGGATAGCAATCCCACCACGAGGAATCTTAGCATCTGGTCGTCCTACTTTTTCCAGCGGGTACCGCATATCTCGGTGGCGTGAGCTCTCAGATCCTCTCTCATATAATTGGGTCAAGCGCCCGTAGTGAATTGCCGCAAGCATCAAATCCAGCCGGTCGGGCAAAAAAGCGGACGATCTAGTGGCTCCAGGATTGATTTGAGCTAGAGTCTCATCGATCAGCGACTCAGGAACAGGAGGACTTGTTAATGGCACGGGATTTGGGGTGCTGAAGTGGGCCGAAGCCATATCGAGACACGGATAACTTGCTGTTGCCGCTCGGATCTGGTCCGGATGAGCCAGAGCTAGGCATATGCTAAGTAGACCACCCGCAGATTCGCCTGCTGTAATGATACGGTCTAGATCTAGCTTTGTCGGGTTGACACATGACGACAATAGCTCTTCAGACTCTGAGGAGTGGAGCCAAGTCCAGAAGTCCTCGACATCTTCAAAGATGTCGAGACTCGTCGCTTCGGGAAGAAGACGGTAGTTGGTGGTTGCAATCACCGCATTATGTTTCTTGGCCAGATCAAGGAGCCATTGAGGGAACCATTCCATGGACAGTGAGTCCCCAGTTATCTTGTTCAATCAGCTATCTCCAATGTTTAATTGTGCCAGTCAAGGTTGGGCTTTGAGCTTACAAGACCGCCCCCATGAAACCTGACAATGACAGGTCGTTTCCCGGTACATTCTGCATGGGGTATGATAAAATCTGCACGAATGCCGTGATTACCCGCTTTCTTATAGTGAGTTTGGACAAGGTCAAACTCGACCAGCTTTTCGTGAGATGCTATAGAGGTACTAGCCATGGTAATATAATGTTTGATGTAGAATGAAGGTTGCAGGGTACGAAGAGGAAATTTAAACGCCAAATCTGAGCGAGCTTAGTTCTTGGGTTAGAAGCTCCTTGAATAATTTGGAAAGATGTTATACAGTGGGAGTCTTATATGCTTGTTCAGCTCCATAGTACTACTATAGGATATCTATCAACAATCATTGACGAGTGGGGCGTTTGCATAGTCCTAATGAGTAAAACTATTGATAGGACCAATCAGAACATGAGGTTAACTGTTTGCAGGATTTGCCAGGTTTGCAGCCTGATTAAGACAAACGTATCAAACAACTTCGGCATCCGGAAAGCGTAAGATCTTCGATCCTGTTTGGACGCAAAGAACAAGAATGAGGGACAATCAAACATCAAGTTGACTTGCATGGGCCTTGGTGTCATCAAAAATGAGTCATGGTGCTCGTAATTCTTTGACATCCACCCCCCCCCCCCGACATCCAGAGAAAGGAGTCCCATTAAACAGAGCTATAGAAATACCCGAGGGAGTGCCAAGGTCGGGCGGGGTTAAGTAAGCTAACCAGCCAACTAGTTAACCAACTATATAAATGCTGCTCATGGTTCTATCGCAAAGGGAACAAGCAGCCTGCTGCCTGCACACTACAATCATCAGCTATTGAAGGTCTCGAGTCAAAATTCATTACTCGTCCTGGCCACTAGATCGTTTCCCTCTGTTAGTATATATTATACGACCGTCTTATGAGCGGCAGAATGGAGATTCGTGGTCAATGCCTCATCAAAGGCGCTGCATCTGCAGAATTACAATGCTGCCCGGTTGGACTCAGCTTTTGGGGCGGGGTGAATCCTGAAACTGGACAGGTGGTAGACCATCATCATCCCCTCTGCGGCCAGTCTATCGCCGGCCGAATTCTTGCTATTCCCTGCGGTAGAGGTTCATGCTCAGGAAGCACAGTCATGCTTGAGCTTCTGCTGAATGGATGTGCTCCTGCTGGGCTGATTTTCGAGAAGCACGAGCAGATTTTGACTCTCGGGGTTCTAGTAGGAAAAGTGCTATTTGAAAGGCCCATACCAGTTGTGGTCTTGTCCTCTTCGGACTTCTCAAAAATATGCAATAGGCACTTCGCCGCCATTGATGGAGAAACTGTGCTCGTCAGTGACGCTCTGTTACCAATCCCGAAACTGCCTGCCGAATCCATTGAAGGCGATATCGACCTTTCAGATTTAGATCGAAACATCTTGGCTGGCGAAAAGGGCCAAGCAGCCAAGGTTGCCTTAGAAATTATCAGGAGCTTTGCAATCATTCAAGGGGCGCGCTCGCTATTGGACGTTTCCCAGGCTCATATTGACGCCTGTATATATACCGGCCCTGCAAGTCTTCTATTTGCACAAAAGTTCCAATCCATGGGTGCTAAGTTTACTCTTCCAACCACCCTCAATTCTATTTCGATCGATCAACGCCGCTGGAAGGAACTAAACGTCGACCCTGAGTTGGCTTTACAGGCGGGCACACTAGCCAATATCTATCTTTCGATGGGTGCACAGCCCAGTTTTACCTGCGCCCCATACGCACTTGACGATGCTCCCAAGGCCGGGCAAGATATTGGATGGTCGGAGTCGAACGCTGTTATTTTCGCTAACAGCGTCCTTGGTGCACAAACCCAGAAATATCCCGATTTCATTGATGTTTGCATTGCTTTAACCGGGAGGGCTCCTTCGGCTGGATGCCACTTGCCCGAGGGTCGACGACCAACAATGTGTATCCGGGTGGGCGACCTAGGATCAATCAATGACTCCTATTTTCCGCTACTGGGATACGTCATTGGAAAGCTGGCTCAGCATAACATACCATTGGTTTGCGGGCTAGAGTATATGCAACCACAGCTCATGGATCTCAAGGCATTCAGCGCCGCTTTTGGTACCACCGCCTCTGCCGCAATGTTTCACATCAAGGGTGTGACGCCTGAGGCTTCTAAGTTTGCTGAGCTAGAACAGGAGCTACCCGTTATAGAGCTCTCGCATGAAGAACTAGTTGATACTTGGCATATGCTCAATTCCGCACAGGACCTTTCTGTTGATCTTGTATCCTTGGGAAATCCGCACTTTTCGCTCGAAGAGTTCGAAGCTCTCTCTAGATTATGCTCAGGCCGCAAGAAAGCCGACGAGATTAAAGTCATCATAACCACTGGCCGAGATACGTACGAAAAGTCGAAAAAGGCCGGTTATATCGATATCGTCACGGAATTCGGGGCAACAATCATTACAGATACCTGCTGGTGCATGCTCGGAGAGCCTGTTATCCCTACTACATCTCGTAATATAATGACAAACTCAGCCAAATACGCCCATTACGCTCCAGGGATGGTGAAGAGGGGCGTGCATTTCGGGAGCCTTGCTGAGTGCGTGGAGGCGGGTTGTATGGGTACATTTGTTGGCGTTCCCCCGGGACAGGCCAGTGATATGGAACAGACTTCATATAAAAACTAGAATACGTTAATCTACTTTTGGGCGCGAAAGTGGGTGATACGTGACTCTACAGACTCTAATTAAGCTGACATATGGGATCAGCCCCAGGCTCAGATGTGACAATATTCATTCACGACTGATTAATCACTGGTGCGTTTATATTGACTTTCATAAAATTGATATTTTGTGAGTTTTGTGGCTCCTACTTAGATTGGTTTGGCAGGAATGTGATATACGATAGGCATTGCATCCTGCAATTTTGCTTCTTGTAACCCGATACTACACTGGAAGAATAATCTACCAGCTTAGGAATATGCTTAATATATTCCCTATCGATTATAAAGACATAGCCGAGCAAAATCGGTGTAATTGAATATTTTCATTCTGACCAGATGGTCGATTTGTTCGCCTCACGATAGTCTATATCTACAAAATGGATTCTTTTACCAAGTCCATTGGATACACGCATGGTACAGTAACATCCACTGAAAAGGCATTCCACGCAATATTAAAAACGCAGTCTGTATACAGTAACAATCCATATCACTAAAACAAACCATGCGAAGCCAACAACACCCTCGAACCAAACAGAGAGCCCGTACTACCTCACACTGTCAAGAAACTAAACCAGCTTGACAACAGCCTTAGCCGCACTCAATCCAGCCATATTTCTCTCTATAGCCGTCTGTATATGTTCCAACCCAGTACCGACGACCAAAGGCTCCGGCATAGGCTTGAACTGGCCGCATTCCAGCGCTTTGGGTAGATAATCCGCCCACACCGCAGGGCCCACCTCGTTGTTCTCCACCGTAAGACAGAAGATACCCTTAGTAGTGACCGAAGACGGCAGCCCCTCTGGGGTTACAACATCATTCGTGTACACGAGGACCTTGCGAGCGGCCTTGCTTCGTTCGAGAATCTCCGCACAGGCCCGCTGAGTCTGGTCCGACGATATACAGTCGTATGCCCCGACGACGTGCTTGTTTTCAAGCGCGGCGACTATGTCATCGATTACGGTGGGGCTCCGGTGGTCATATATCTGGGAGACCCCTAGGCTCCTGAGAAGAGCGTGATTGTGCGGGCTGGCAGTCGTGATGACTTCGACGCCTGCGGCATGGGCGAGCTGCACGGCGCTGATGCCGACGCTGGAGCTGCCGCCCCAGATCAGGATCGTCTGGCCCGAGGGCTGTGGGGCCAGAGAAGGATGAGGGAGGTTGAGATAGTCCTCCTGGAAAAGGCCGGCAGCGGCGGTGCTGACTGAGACGGGGAGGACAACTGCTTTTTCGTAGGAGATGGATGGGGGTAGAGGTGCTGTTAGGGTCGCCGATAGGACAGTGAAGTCCTGGAAGCCCGAGTATCGACTATCCCCATTCGCGAGATTCTTACAGTGTCTGCAATGCTTGTTAATTCAGTTGCCGGGTGACTTCAAGGATCTGGGACGACATACCCGATAACACGCTGCCCTAGGGTAAAATTGGTCACCCCACTACCGATCGCGATGACCTCGCCTGCTACATCCACGCCCAGTATAAAGGGATATTTCAGGGGGAGGATCTCGAACTTCTGTAGCTTCCAGTCGATCGGATTGATTGCGACGGCATGATTCCTCACAACAATAGTACCGGGGTCCGGAGAGGGATAAGGTGCCTGTTGGACTTCCAGAGGAGCCTTACGGGCTGCAAGGAGGTAGGCTGCTCGATTTAAAGACATGATTGGGAGGTACAATAATAATAAAGTAGGAGGTGGTGAGGTGTTGAGATCAAAATGATACTGGTAGCATTGTGGTCTTCATCTCCGAGTGGGCATGGGAGGGATTTTATAGTGAGGATACTACTATTGGAAGTATCAATTGTCTCTGATATGTCTACTTCCTTAACTACTGTAAACTGTGGTATTTCCGACCCCAAGTCTAGGAATATACGAAGGCCGCTTTATCTCCGACGGGAAATGCACTTGGAGATTTCTAAGCCGGAATAGAGTAAATCTCACCCTCATCGGAAACCGCGTTACGTCCGAGACATCTATCTACTTTAGCGCCGGCTTTAAAAGTTATATGCGAGCCTTACTAATGTATTGTTCTATAGAAAGCGATGTAGGTCTGTTGCCTAACTTAGATGCAGCTATGCTGGAATACCATCTCCCTCACTTCGTTTAACACGCAACTCTTCTCTCCATGTATGTCCCCGGAAATAGACCGCCCACAGAAGCACACTGAAGACAAACCAGACACCTACAATGAACGTAGTCGTCCAGCCAATGCCAATACGATCGATCAGGGGTGTAGCAAAAGCCGTCGCACCAGCTGCAAGCAAGCAGCGAAACAAGTTGTTCGCAGCCACGGCGGTTGCCGCACTTTGGCGATGAATATCAACGATCAGCGTGCTAAGGGTCGAAAAAGCACCCGTGGTAAGATGGCCGGAGAAGAACAACAACACCAACGGAACCGCCAGGTGAGTTTGATATCTCATAACCCACCCGTATGCAAGGAGGAACAAGCAAGCAGCATACACGAAAGGGACAGTAATGGTTAAACGAGCTTTTTCAATATTGAAGTCCCGGATGTCCTGTTGACGATTCTTGACTATAGGTAGATTTTGGATCTTGGCTTCCCGTTTGAAATTCCAATCCAGCAGAGGCCCTGCGGACCAACGGGATGTCATACTTCCGACTCCTAGTGGTAAGTAGCATAATCCCACCTGGATGGAGTTGAATCCGTACTCGCTCTCCAGCTGCGAGGTCAGGGTGCTCAGAATAATCATGTAACCGGCATATAGCAGTGCCCCATAGATGAGAATCAGGCCACCTTCTTTTTCCAGAGTGATACGCACTGATGTCAGTGGATTCGGGCGCGTTTTGCTCTTTTCTAGAGTTTCATAATCGACCCTCTTTTCTACTTGATGGCTCTGAGGTCTTAGTGATTCTTTCAGCATCGCCCACAAAGGCCGATTCCATTTGGCAGGAGGTATTGAACCGTTTCCCACCACTGCACGGCACGTTTCCGGACACGTCACGAGAATAAGGGCAAAATTGAAGCCACCCAAGATGACAAGAAACCAAAAGACCCATCTCCAGCCGAGAAAGTGATCCAGGAGCCCTCCAATGACGGGTCCCACGGCCGGTCCCAATGTCGTCCCCATAGTCGCATATGCGATGTATCTGCCTCGCTCAGCTCGTGTCGATATATCTGCAACCACGGCACTTCCAATAGCAATTGTTCCGCTGCTACCAGCCGCCTGGACACATCGCAAGACCATTAATGCTGCGTAATCAGACTGTAATGCCAGGCCAATATTTGCCCCGATGTATGTGGTGAAACAGAAAATATAGGCGATCCGTCGTCCATAGACGTCCGAAAAGGATCCGGTGAAAGAGGGAGAAATTCCTTGTAGTATCTAGAAACATGTTAGACCTGTGCTGAAATAGGAAGCTCTTGGATGGAACTGGTACGGAAAGGACTACGTACCAGATATGTCGTGATGGTTAAGTTAATCAAGGAGATAGAAACATGCATGTCCTTTGCAAGGGAGGGAAGGGCTGGATAATAGATACTGGCGGATATTGGGGATATTATGCCAGAGAATGATGCTGTCAGCATCACCGAGATCTTTCTGCGCTCGGAAAGAGAACAGTAGGGAGCGTCATCTTTCGCGTCAGTCTCTCTTTGAACCGGGTACAGTTCGTTGCTGTCTATATTTGTCTTTTCAATTTGATCTTCAGCGCAAGGTTTGATTTTAGCTGAGTCAATATCTTCCATTTCATTCTGGTTGCCATGCGCTATTGATCCTGTAGAGTCGATCTGCAGGTCACTCGGTCGACAAACAGAACGTGGTAACGACATGGCTCGCCTGCTAACTCGTATAAGTGTTGATTTCAGAGATGGCTCTATCTCCGCACGCTGCTGGCGTTTTTTTCGTTAACTTCATGCTCAAGGGTCAATTAAGATCCAGGCTCTGTGCGTGTCGCAGGCCCATGCCCCGTTTCCGGGCCGGTCCCGGCCATGCAGACCAAAGCTTAGCCTACTTTAAATTATCTGACGTTTTATTCCCGACGGCTTTAAGTGATAATCTCCGAATACTAATGTGTTCACTTAATATAAATAACTCTACTCGCAACCGCAGCATGAATCATACCAAAAAAATCTAGAAGAGGCTCTGGCCACCACGAAGAATCGCACCATGTCTTGTGACGCATGTCGAACGCTACCACCGGTGATCCCCCAAGGATACACCATCAAAGGCACCTATAAGGAAGTCGCCGGCCTGAACACCTGCAAGTCACACACAGATGCACAAGAAAAGCAAGCTCTGACCTTCCCCAGATGTTACTGGTCCACCGGATGCGTCCACGGGGCTTGTAGTCCTCTACGACATTTTTGGCATGGCCATTCAGACCCTGCAGGGGGCGGATCTTCTAGCTACAAGACTGAATTCCTTAGTCCTAGTGCCCGATTTCTTCGAAGGAAATTATGCCCAGCCCGAATGGTTCCCGACGGACACAGAAGAGAAGAAAAACGCCATTACAAGCTTCGTCTCCAATGAAGCCTCGATCCCGAGGAACGTGGACACTCTGCTAGAGATAACTAAGCAGTACAACACGCTATTTCCGTCTGTGTCAAAATGGGCTGCACTGGGGCTATGCTGGGGTGGGAAGGTGGGTTGCTTCTTCCCATGGGCTTAGTGAATCTTCGTGTCTAACACGTATCCCTTAGGTTGCTGTTCTAGCTTCTGGTCCCGGTACGCCGTTTGTAGCTACTGGGCAGGTTCATCCCGGGTATGTGTGACCTCGAACCTCGGTACACAAAAGGAGAATACTGACTCGACTCTCTCACTCAAAGTCGGACTGACAAAACGGATGCTGAGAAACTTACAATTCCGCATATCGTACTTGCATCCAAGGATGAGCCCGCGGGGGAAATCCAAGGCTATGCCGATGTCATCAGCTCGAATGGTATCGGCGGCCACGTCGAAACATACAGCACCATGTGGCATGGCTGGATGGGAGCCCGTGCCAACCTTGACAATGAAGAAAGCAATGCTGAATACAGACGAGGGTAAGAGGAAATTCAGTTTCTTTTCCAGACGGTGACTGCTGATACTCATGGATCAGGTACACCCAGGTTGCAGACTTCTTTGAGAAATATCTCAAGTAAATCCATGATTTGGTCCTTGACATCTTCGGACGATCCGTAACAGGATTATTTGGAAGACATGTCAACTCTGCTGTCATCTTCTGTTCTCTGATTCGGTTTAGTCCTTTTAACTTGCTTCTTCCTCCTAGATATGATAGCCCTAAGGACAAAAATGAAAGTTTAACATCTGCAATGGAGTACTAAATACAGGAAGAACGTAAACATTGTCCCTGCAGCCCACATGCAAACACACGAGTTAGTCACATTAAGAACAAGAATTACTGACTCCAGGCGATATCCAATTGATGGTCTTCGTATAGAATGTAAAGATAGTTAAAGATAAAAAGGGTATTTAAATAGTAGTCTAACGTCGTGCCCGCAGAGCTAATCAGAAATATAGAGTGATGAATAGTACATTCTTAATATCGACTGCCGGTAGACCCCAACTCCCGCAAACCAACAAAAGATGAAATCACATCCCAGGAAAATTGGGAAAGTCCAGCCCCCTGTCTATCTGCCATGGAATCCTTCTTGTTGCCAGTCATCTCCGTTTAATTTCTGGCCGCTACCATAGCTGCTGCCAGCCCCACCAGCCATAGCAGCAGCAGCACCTAAGCTTGCGCTGTGTTTCTCTATCTCCATCGTGCTCATCATGTATAACATAGTAAACAGGAGAATATGGATGCCGAAGCAATAGCCCGCGAATAGGTTCCGGCTGGTCCGATTGGCCAGGATTATTCGGGTGAGAGAGAAGACAACCCGCTCAGGGAGGCTCATGCGTTTATATGCCCGTACAGATTCCCGGCCCTTGAAAGCAGCAAACGGCGAAATCTGAGCCTCGTAAGCGGATTGGTAGCGATCAAGTGACAGCCCCGATGGCGTGTCCGCAGACAGATGAACGGAGGACGCGCTCGGCTTGTTTCCGTAGGCACTTGCAGAAGAGGAGCCCCCTTGGCCACGGTTGTATGTTGACACATACCGTGTCTTTTCGTACAGGCTGAGATTATCCTTCTGAAGAGAAGAAACCTCCTGCCTAAGTGACTTCACTGTGTTGTACAATTTCGAGAGCTCCTCCTCTAACTCTGCATTCTTCTTCTTGAATCGGTCTCGCTGTGCTTGAATCATCGGCAACAAACCCGAGCCGCCCCCAACAGGTTCTCCTGCTCGAATGGCATCCATGGTGTTGGAAGATCCGGAGGAATGGTCAAAGCCCGAAATGATTGATGATGTCGGCGATGTACCTCCCCGGCGAGAGGAGTAGGGGTGCCTCGATGTGTAGGTGCCTGCAACGGACATCGCAGATGATGGGAAAGCATTCGCTGCCTCTTCCTGAACCCGAAGGAGGTCATTCTCAAGAGTAGTGGAGAGTTTCTGGGATTTTTCAAGTTCCTCCTTAGTCGCTGAGAGATCTTCGCGCAGAGTCTCGAGTTGGCCCTGAAGGTCACGGTGTGATACCCGTAGAATAGTGAGCTCGTCCGTGAGCTTTTTGTTTCTAGACATCAGAAGCTGCTCTAAACTGTTCTTTGCACCATCCTTGGAGGGGGTGCCATTGGGGGCGGTCGTGGTATCATCCGCTAAGTCCCGGGCATCATCGTCGTCACCGGCAGAAAATTCGATGGACTATAGATGACTATTAGCATTCATTGAGGAGGTATGACATAATCACCTACCTTAATCATCTCCAGCTCCCGGCGAATATCTTCATAATCTGCGACCTTTTCCAACCTTGTTCGTAACTCATCTCTCTCAGCGGCAACCTTGGCGCTATGTCTCTCAGACTGGGATATCTTGGTCTCCCACGTATGCCGCTCAGACTCCCTGTCAAACCGCGCTGCATCCAACTTGCGCAACAGGGAGGAATTCTCCGACTGAAGGCGAAGGTATGCGGGGTCTTCTTCAACGGATGTTGTTTGCTCTGGATGCGAATGTGAGACAACTTGAGCCAGCTCAAGTCTCAATTGCTCATTCCGTGCCTCTACTTCTGCCAGCCTAAGACTAGTCTTTTCAAGATCGGCTGACACCAGCTCCAGTTCCGCGGCGGTAGCCCCTCCTTGTTGATGGCCATCAACACTACTCTCCTCCTGGCCTAGCCGTTGTGAAACCTCGTAGCTCGCTTTGAGATCTTTGATCAGGCGTTCTTGGTTCTCTACTTTTTCTTCCAAGCTTTTCTCTTTGGCGGTCCAATTGTTCGATTTCTCTGACAAAACGGCTGACCAAGAAGACTCAATCTCTTTGATCTTTGATTCCTGGTTATCCTCCAACTTCTTTCTTGCAGTCCGTTCTTCTTCGAGCCGATTCTCAGCATCATCTAATTGGGAGGTAAGGCGGTCCACGTTGCTCTGTAGTTGGTTCCGTTCGGATGTTAATTTTGGCACGGTTTCTTCAGAATGAACGAGGGAGTCGACGGATGCCTCAAGGAGAGGATAAGGGTCAGGAGCCTCTGACAAGGAGGAGTACAGCTGTAAGAAAGCGTTGGAAGAGGCCTTCCCTTGGTTCGTCAAGACATCGATAAAGCTTTGGTACGCTGGCCATTCCGTTAGCCCGCCAGTGCCGAAACGAGATTTGTAGGAAAAGGGATAAACCTTTCAGCAGACTCTTATATTCCGCCAGCTTGGCCGCATCATCCAACTTGCGAAAATCCTTGGTCTTCTGAGCGAGGTCCTTCCTTTGAACGAGGGCATCGCGCTGCTGAGCGACAATGTCGGAGGCAGTCGAATCTAGCTTCGCGATCGTATTGGACAGGTCAATACCTGTTGAAAGTCGACGAATTAGTTTCCAAACTGGGTACGTCGGAATATGTCATTTTGAGTAAGGTACCTCTCCAAGCAGCAATAGCGCGTTGAAACTTGTTAGCCCCCTCGGGCAACTTTCCAACGCTGTCCTTTTCGGCATCGTGGCCATCTTGATTGTTTGAATCAGGCACAATGCCCTCCGTGAGCGCGAAAGAGTCCATCTTTGGAGAATTTAAGAGATTATTACAAGTACATTGACTCTTGAACGACAACCCCACCAGACAAAAAGAGAAACGTCAACACCGCTTTCGAGAAGAAGAGACCCTGAGTAACAATAGAGTATGCGATGCGGAGACATGAGACGCTCCGGGCGGCCCGATGATGTTCCGAACGCGTCAGCTACTGCTTTTCTTAGATTTACAATGACATGTGCGTCGGGACCACGTCGTAGACTACTAGCATGTTACATGCCATCAATGTCTTTACTGGTTTAATAGTGTCAGTATGGGGTATGCTTCCATGTTATAATTGTTCCATACGTGCGCAGTCAATCAATTGGCACCTGCAAAACCTCGCTCATTCCAATTCACAATCCTCAATCGAGATTATAGGGCATATTATTCCCAAGTGTAATATAATTAAATCCTGAGAAACCCATGATACAGTATCCCGAGGTGTCTCCAAGCAATGTTAAATTGTACTTATAACACTAGTACTGTAAGGATATTAGCGTGTGCAATCCACACTTCGCAGGTGCATATCAGAACTCATAACGGAGACAATAGAATTGATAAAAAGAGGCCGATAACTGCATAACTGAGTAGCCTAGAATGCGTTCCTTATTAACTACTATAGAATCGAAGTAAAGCATACTTTGTTTATGGCGAAGAGAAAGTTTTGATACTAGACGGAGGAAATACTCCACTGGGGGTGCCTGAGTCAGCAAAAACTAACCCCGGCTTTGGCCCACTCTTAAGCCACTTTAGGACATCACCTCCAAAGCTTCCGACGTTTCCCCTCAGAGGCCTCGCCAGGAACCATCTCATATCGTGACACCAGAGCGGGCCTCATTATGGTGCCGGAAGACGATGGCACCACCCCCCGCAAGAAGCGGAAGATCACTCCGCCGAAAGCTGTACCTTATATGCTACGACCTCTTTTCGATCAAGTACCTCTGACAGCTGACGACCCCAATGACGATGTCCATATCACCTGCGTTGAATATTGGAGTATGTCTACTCCAAGACCACATCGCTTGGACACTTCCACCGAATGCGCTAACTGCCATTGACAGATGACAACCTCTATATCGGAACCTCTGCTGCTGAAATCTTACATTTTGTCTGCCTTCCGCCCGATCCATCGGACAACACCAACGAGCCGTCCTTCATTCTAGCCTCGAGATTGCCCATTCCGTTTTCCAAGAGCAATTCAGTAACGAACAGGCAGCAAGGCATCCAACAAATTGTTCTCCTTCCATCTGTGAACAAAGCTTGCATTCTCTGCAATGGAACGGCTACATTCTACTTGTTACCGGAGCTCAGCCCGGCATTCCGCGAGAATACGAAGGTTAACAACTGTTGTTGGATCGGGGGTCTTGACCAGAATGCATCCATAGACGAGCCGGAGAGGCCGGTTATAATGATCGCAACGCAGAACAAAATAATGCTCGTGCGGATTGGTGACGATGCTCGACTGGTCCGAAACATTGAGTTTCCGGGGTGTTTAACAGCATCACGAAGAGGCATAATCGCCTGTGCTGCAGACACGCGTTCATATTCCCTGCTAGATGTGGAACACCAGCAAAAGATACCTCTGTTTCCAATGTCTTTCTTCGATGAAGCTTTAGCGTCTGGTCAAGTGGAAGACATGCCGCCCGCCTCATTGTCACCTAGCTCTTCTGCCGAGGGCCATGCACATGGCAGGAGTTCCAGTTTGAATACAGTCGCCGGGATGCTTCAGCCGAATGCACGATCAGCTTCACAGGATCGTTCGATCTCTGTAACACCTGAACTCTCCTCCGCTTCCGGGACGCCCACCCGTTCACGCTCAAAGGAACGAGGCGGTAGTATTTCTCCAAGGACATCATCGGAGCACCCATCGCGCGATTCGCAGTCTAGTCCTCGTGATGGTCCAAAACCGCTTCCACCATTGCCAAAGCAATCGTCGACACAATTAAAGCCGCATATCCTTTCTCCGACTTCATCTGAGTTTTTGCTGGTCAGGGGTACCGATGCGGCAGAACCAGGAGTTGGAATGTTTGTCAACGTTGACGGTGATGTAGTCCGCGGGACAATCACGTTTCACAAGTACCCGGAGTCGGTTGTCATTGACAAAGGCGACGAAAATAACCTAATTGGAGCACCCAGCGACACCCGTGAGGATCTCATTCTTGCAGTCATCGAGGCCGATCAAGATGGAAAGTTACGCAAGTTCTTGGAGGTACAACTTTGGGATGTCGACCCCGGAAATGCAGACAACCACAAAAGCTGGGTAGAGATACCATCCGTACAGGATACGCAGCCATCTCACGTTGGGCTTCTCCATACACTCTCCCCCAGCCAGCTCGAAGTAAGCGAGATGAAAGGCTTACTGCAGATGGTCCGATTGAGAACCCCGTCACTATCACCACATATACCTGCAACCGACCCGAGGACGCAGGCATCGATAGAGCAGCTACAGGAAGAAAAGGAATTGTTCGAATCTCAGGAAGCAATCGACACCGAAGGAACCAAAAAAGACACACCCGACTGGGAAGCTGAGCGAACTGCCGACGAAGCTAAATTTGCGCGTCAATTGGGTAAAACCCAAAGCAGCCTTGTTTTGTGGAGTGGTAAGCAGATATGGCGGGTCGTGAAAAACCCTTTGACCATGCAACTGAATGATGCGCTTCAAAGTGCCCAAGAATCGCAAGAGGACGGCCACAGTGTATTGCGACGCGATGTGATTATGGACATTATCAAACTGGTGCAAGAAGCAGAGCCTAAGTCGGAGGCTGAGTTTCTGGGCTTAAACTACGTGAAACAAAAATCCAGTTTGCTCCTGTTCGGCGATTTGGTCTTCATGGACCCGACCATCAGGGATGAAGCGACGATCGATGCCACAGAGAAAGCACTCGTTGCCGGGGAGCTGGACCCTAGAGTGGCCTTGTTGTTGGTTCCCCTTCTGCGCCAAGAAGTTTTACAAGGACCGCAGGGCATCTGGATTCACGGGGGCCTGGCAGAGATGGCAGAGTTGTACCTTAAGCGCCTGGATAGTGTGAAAGCTTCTAAAGAACTCGACGTCTTTGATAGCGAGGTCTTGAATATGATCAAGCGTTTCTTACTTGCCTGGCAGCAAAAACGAGGATATGGCAGCATTACGGACGACGCTTACATATTCGATAGCGTCGATGCGGCCCTCCTGCACCTGCTGCTGGAACAAGACTCGAAAGTACCTACGGAACACCGCCTTTCTTCACGAACGCACACGGAATTGAATAGGCTAGTGGATAAATGGAAGGGTAACTTTGACCGGGCAGTGGCACTTCTAGAAAACTACAAGCGACTATTTCTCCTGAGTCGCTTGTACCAGAGCCAAAAGATGTCCCGGAATGTCCTGAAGACGTGGCGGCGAATCATGGAAGGGGAGGAAGATTCCGGAAGTGAGACCACCGCTTCGGGCGTTGAGGCACAGATGCGCAGGTATTTGGTCAAGATCAGAGATGCACAGCTTGTTGAAGAATATGGTACTTGGCTGGCCCAGCGAAACCCCAGACTTGGTATACAGGTCTTTTCGGACAACACCAGCAGAGTCAAATTAGACCCAGCAGATGTTGTCCGCTTGCTCAAGGAACGAGCGCCCAATGCAGTTCAAGATTACTTGGAGCACCTGGTTTTCTCAAAGAATGTTGGTTCTACCCCATCTCCTTTTTTAACCCCCCTGTCTGCTAACTCTGGAACTAGTACACCCAATACGCAGATGACCTCCTTTCATATTATCTTGATACTGTTCTCTCTGTTCTTGAGACCTCCCCTGCTGCTCGGTCGTCGCTTGCGGAATCATATTCGACTTACCGTGCATTGCAACCGCCGAAACCAACGTATATGAACTTTATTCACGAAAACACGCCTTCTGAACCTTGGTGGCAATCGCGACTTCGGCTTCTCCAGCTGCTTGGTGGAGGCGGTAGCAGTCAATTCTCGTCGGTCCCGTCCCCTAAATTAACGTATTCTATTCCTGCTGTTCTCGCACGGATTGAACCATTCCAAAACGAACTCGTATCGGAGTCTATTATTCTCGATGGACTCCAGGGCCGTCATCGAGAAGCCTTGCACCTTCTTACACATGGCCTTGGCGACTACGACTCTGCAGTTCGATATTGTCTATTCGGTGGTCCTCGGAGTACCAGCTCGACAAACACACGGACTGAGTTCGCTGACCAGTCACAGCAGAGCGAGCTGTTCGGTTATTTGCTCGATGAGTTCCTGCATATCCAGGACCTCTCGGAATGTATCGAACGAACCAGTGACCTCTTGGCACGGTTTGCGTCATGGTTCGATGTGGACGAGGTTCTCCGGCTTGTTCCAGATAACTGGAGCGTTGATATCCTGAGCGGGTTTCTTGCGCATGTCTTCCGAGTCCTCATCTCAGAGACCCGTCAAACCCGGGTTGAACGAGCGCTCAGTGCAAGCCTAAATCTACGGGTTGGCGCGGAGTACATCGAGGGAGTGGAGAAGGTCGGCGGCTGGGTGGAGGACGGCGAGGGACTGCGGTGCTTAAAAGAGGCCACTACCCGCGCGGCTGTGCCCACCGACGATGGGGATGATTTCGGAGATATGGTTGAACCTCGTGCAGGTGATTGATACCATGCTCTATTGATAGTGTACATAACGACATAAATGACGACTATACTAATTCATCTCACATCACATCCAAAATTCATTATTTAATCCAGATCTGGCACAGGTAATCCGTTCACTATCTTCACCTTGCGGCCCAGTTTATCCAGCGCCACCTTGGAGTTCTGCTCGCGCAAAGCGCTGGTCTCGGTATCAGAAACCAGGACAAAGTCGTATGTAAGAAGAGCATGGTCCTCCGAAACGCCATACTTCTTTGCATACTCCGGACCTGCCTTGCCAAGATCCACCACCAGAGAATCCTTGACACCAAAGACGGCATCCGAAGTCTCATACGGATCATTCCGAAGATAAAGCGCCCTACCAACCATTAGCCACCCTCACCAATTCCCAGAACCAACAAGAAAAATAGAACATAGAAAATAGATGTGAGAGAGAGAGAGAGAGAGAGAGAAACATACGTAATCAAATGATCATACCCCTCCTTCTCAAACATAAAATGCATATGGCTCGGCCTATACGGATGGCGATGCAACTTCTTCAACAACTTCCCGACCGGCCCGTCATGTGGAATCGGGTACGGCACCGGCGTGATCGCCTTAAACCAAAACACGCCGGTATCATCACTGCGCATGATACAGCGGCCATCGGGGCCGTCCCGCTCCGCATACTGCACGTCATAGTGGCCCGTGGAGTCCGTCTCCCAGATATCGATCTTGACGCCGGAGATGGGGTTACCGTGCGTGTCTTTTAGCGTACAGACGACGAGCAGCGGCTCGCCCTTGGGGTCGTGGGACATGCTGTCGCCGTGGGTCATTACTTCGGCTTCATGTGTGTGGAAGGGTCCGAGGACTGTGCCTTCAGTTGAGCCGGGGGGTTTGGGGTGGTCGATCGAGTCGACGAGGATTGAGAGGCCGAGGACGTCGGAGAGGAGGATGAATTCCTTGTTTTTCAGCCATGTCAGTTATCCTTGCTTTTTCTTTCTGTATTTTATTTTGGTCTGCCTTGGTGTTTGCGTGGTATGGAAAGAAAAGCACAGTGCCTTACCTGTCGCACATCCGAACAAATCTTCCCCACCTCTGTGAGGAACATCAACCCCGCCATCCATTCCTGGGAACTGAGTCTCGTTTCACGCGCGAAATCATGTAAGTGAGAAACCAATCGTTCGAGAACATATTTCATGCGCTGGTCTTCGCACAGCGAATTAATGCGGATGACGTTTTCGGTAATATTGTCGACCGTGAGGTCCTTCATGGGTGGGATTTTAACCTGTGAGGGATCCATTTTGTGTTTCAATTCCTTGCTGCTGAAGAGTTTGTGTCACTAAGAGTGAGTGGGGGATGGCAGGAGTAAATAAAAACTGTCAATTGTGAGTTGTTGGTTCCATATATACTTTAAGAAGGATGGGCGTATCACACCCCGCATTGGGCGGAGCATGATGTATAAGAGTTGAATAAGCCGCGGAATTTGTTCCTTCCTGGGGAATGTGTAGGTTCTCCCCGATGGATCTGCCGGTGGGAATTGCCATTGGAATTCTGATGGATTAGCAATGTGGACATTGTTGGTGGGTGAGATGGGAATGGTGTCGGGAATACCCCGCGGATCGACGGCGATGCATTAAGCCGTATATCCGGGGTGCATTTGGAGTTTGGATACAGTACTCTTTACTTCATCTACACACTACCACCCAGTAAAGGATGTTGGTTCAAACAATAAGAGGCGGGTGCAAAGGACTGATTTCTGATTACTGTGTAGTCCAAAAAAAACGGATCAATATGTTCCCCCCACTTTCCCGGTCGCAGCGTCATCGGATTGTGGGGAATAGGATCCATTCCCACAAAGTCAACGGCTAATGACATTGCCGATGTTTGACGGGATTCGTGGGTAGCAGCTAGCCTTATAATCTCGTAAAAAAGGCAGCCTTTCAACAAATCAAGGTGCTGTAGTGTAGTGGTGATCACGTTTCGTTGTGGTAATTCCGCAATTCCGAATCGACCTGGGTTCGATTCCCAGCAGCGCCAATTGGCGTCTGATACTTGATTTGTATCTTCTTTTTTGCTTTTTTGGGATCTATATCTATTTGACCCTCTGTCTTCTACATCTACGTAGTATCTTTTTTTCATCGCATGGTTCCGCAGTAGCATGTAGTTGATGGTGATTTTACTAAGCTTAGGATGGCCCCCACAATGGTGAAAATGAGAGTGTTCAACTTCAAAAGAAGGCTTTATCAGTCCATTTTGTTGGATTGTACATCTCTTCCGCAGGATATATATATCTTTCTTGTATAACCATACCCCCTTCAACAGACAACATGTACATCGCCACCAGAACATATATGAGCATAGCTATAAACTATGATTATCTGATGAACCCGGAGCTGATATGTGCATTAGCTGACTATTTTTTTTCGACGCATGCATGCGTCAAATACAACAATCTAGTTTTCTCCAAAAAAATACCTCGACGAGTTCAGATATATCAAGAGCACCATCCCAATGGTCAGCAATGCAAAGGACCTACAAACAGCAGCGATCAAAGCATAGCTCCTTCAATTGAAACGCTATCACAGAGCTCAGACGAATATCTTCGCCGATTAACTCCGGAACATAGGTCCGCTCCACGACAATTCCTTTACCAGCTTGCCAGGGGGTCGAAGGATGAGAAGAACTAACAAGCCTTGTAGACAAGATTAGCAGAGCGAAGCCAAACCTTCTTCTACATGTTCAGATTGCTTGCGTTGGATTGCCGACTGATAACCAACGCAATCTTGCCGCTAACATGGCTCTTATCAACCCGATCGATGGCATGATTTGAGGTAATCAGAGCACCTGGGCATTGCAGAAGTTCTCTGCAATCGACAGTTGCGATGTATATATAGCGAGCACGCCCTTGTTGATCTCGGTATTGAGATCCTCGTGTAGATTTTGGGCTGGAACGCTGGAGGCGAGGAGGCGGGGAGGCGAGCGGGGGGCATTGTCTTTGTTTCTTTCTTTCTTTTTTTTTTTTTTTTTTTTTTTTTTTTTTTTTTTTTTTTTTTTTTTTTTTTTTTTTTTTTTTTTTTTTCTGCAGGCAGGCATTGAGAAAGAGAATGTTCGTATAATGCTCAAAGAGAATCTTTTTCTTCTTCTGGTCTCGTTGATAATGGGCTGATTATCACCGAACCTGTTGACAGTTAGGTGGGGTTATGTATAGTTGGGGCTACGGGAGCCAGATCTGGCACCCCGCTCCTCGTATTCTAGAACATAAGCATCCTAAATTTTAAGAGCGGTAGAATTTCAGTGACTGAATAAAGACGTGGAAGGGATGTATAGCTCGTGCAAAACCTGCCAGAGCTCTGATATATTATATAGTAAATGCTGTGTTGTCCAAAGAATCATGTCAATCTGTTCATATATGCACCATGCCCAACAAGAAGAGATGAACTAAACTACTGGGATATCCGCTAAAACGCTCAAAGCAGTACAAACCATGCACACATTAGATAACACCCTTATAAACCCCCACAACCATGCTACATGACATGAATTTCCCACAAAAATGCAAGGACAAAACAGTAAGAAAGGGGGAGAAGAAACTAAGCTTTCACCAGTTTCCGGTCTCGGTCTCGTTCTTGCTCGCGTTCACGCTCAGTCATCGGTTGCCCACCCTCTTTTGCGGCGGCTGCAGCTCGCGCATGGTGGTCAACCGTGTCGAGGATTGCCTGCATCAGCCGTTGATTGGCATCTGGGTCATCATCCTCTGCGGCTGGGTTGGTGTTGCGGTTGATACCGATATGCCTGTCATGACTTAAGGAGCCCCCCCGGATCTCACTCATCGCCCGGCGGGGCGACGGCTCCTTTCCGAGTGGAGTACCGTGTATGGGACCCGCTGTTGGAGCGGACTCCCTGCGCACGTTGTACTCAATCTCTCGATGACGATCAATTTCGGGTACCACTACAGCTGAAGGGGGTGTGGGCGCGGAAGAGATAGATGGCGCCATCGGTGCCGGTGCTGTGGTCGTCGGCAAGGACTCTTTCGGGGTCGAACTCTCTGGTCGCTCCCGTGACATTGGATCGGGGCGTGGCTCACGATGCTCACGTGTCTCCTGTAGCTCCTCCGCTTTCACGTCCTTCCAAGAACATTTGGCATGCTTCTTCGTGCAACCCATGCATGCTGTGAGGTTCTTCAAGCAATCCATGTGGAGGCGACGACACCGATCACATGGGGGCAGTATGCGTTCGCCGCGTTGCAGCTCCTCCATGCGGGCAACCATCTCCATTTTGAACGGACCGCCGTCGTCCTTCTCATGGTGGTGGGACTTGGGCGGAGGGAGCAGCGATGACGGAGTGTTGGGGATTGCGACGGTAGTTGGGGCAGGGGTGTACATATTGTACTCTGTCGCATCTGATGCTCGCGGTCGCGGCCGGGATGACTGGCGGTTTTGGGATCCGGTCCCTTCTTCATAGCTGCGAGATTGTCGGTCTTGGGTAGTGAAGAACTTCTTCATCAGCTCCGCGCGCGTTGTCGGAGATGCGCCTTTGATGGAGGTCCCGTTGATGATAGTGACATTATCCGTGTTGGAGTGCGAGAACATGAACTGTTGCGACAGCGCATTGTCTTCAGTTGTGGGTTCCCCACCGGGCCGGCCGGTGTTAACCGCAACAAAGCCGGCGGAGGGAGACTGGGTGTTTGAGTGACTGCTGCCGTTCAGCGGAAGCTGACTTCCATTGGCGTCGCGCCAAACGGGGCTGATAGAGCGATGCTGTTGCTGTTGTGGCTGCTGTTGTTGCGATTGTGATTGCGACTGCGAATGCAGGGATAGATCATTCTCTCGGCGGGTGACAATCGCTGTTCTTCGGTTTTTGAGACGATGGTTGAGTTGTCTCGCTCGCGCGGACACTAGAAGAGGCGAGCGGTTAGCGCCGGTAGCCATACAGATCGCTTTGCATGGAAACTCACCTTGGTCTGCGACCTGGATAATTTGTTGGAGGTTCTTCTCCAAAATCTCTAGCGCGCCCAACTCTTTCTCCTCATCCTCAATAATCGGCTGCGGGGGGATCATTTTCTGCGGCATTCCCGATGCGATCAGCACGAAGTCTTCTTCGCTGATCTCCACCCGACACTGCTTGGTATAGAATTGACAGACTCGCACACCATTGCGGGTCTTCTCCAGATTGAACTGCTCTGGCTTGTTCTTGGCGAACTCCACTACGTCTAGCCAGGTAATGTTGGGAGAGTCTTTGCCGTGCGATTTGAGTACGCGGGGAGGACCATCGAAAAGGCGCTCAAAGCGCTTAATCAAGATGGGCCCCAAAGGGCACGCGCCTAAATTCCCAGCGATACTCTCATGACGATGGAGGACACCGTCATATTCACCAATCAGGTGAATGATTGCGGGCATCGTATCATCGATGGAGACCAGAGGAAGATTATCCGGATACTGACGCGCCAGGTAGTTGATCTGCAGGTGGTTCGAATGTGTCTTCGGGACTTTGGAAGCGATGGGAGGGAAATCGCCGGACGGTGATCGAGGTCGCTTGCTGGACGGCTCTGCCGTCGCTGTTCTGGACTCCATGGCGTGCGGAAGAGAAAGTGAGCCGGCAAGGCGCACGAGTCACGCAGCAGATTGAATAAATACACCAAGAAAAGAAAAAGAAAAGAAAACAACTGCGGCAATGACTCGTGGAGGATGGCGTCAGAAGCGCAAAGGGAAAATTATTAAGCGATTCCAAGGCGATTGAGTAACGGGAACGTGGACGAAAGAAGTGCAGCCGATGGCGGAGGAACTCAGGCTCCAGCGTGCGGGTTGAGGTTCAGCCACTCGTGCCCGTTCAAGTTAGGTAATGACAAAGGAGGTACCCCAACGAATCTGGGGTTCAGGGAAAAAGTCGAAAAAATTACAGGAAGAGAACGTAAGAGAAAGCGAGCAATGAGCAGGCTATGATACGCGCACCGAGATGCGGAGGAGAGGAGAGGGAGGAAGAACAGAGAGGGAGAGAGAGAGAGAGAGAGAGATAATGTTGGGGAGGGAAAAGGGAGAGCGGACACTGAGGAGGAAGCTCACGGGGGGGTTATTTGGAGAGCCAAAAAAGAAAAAAAAAAAAAAAAAAAAAAAAAAAAAAAAAAAAAAAAAAAAAAAAAAAAAAAAAAAAAAAAAGGCGGACGGAACGGAATAGCCGTTGGGTAGGTTAAGTTTCTCCTGGAAAATATCGCGCTCGTTCAATCAATATTGGTTATCTTGAGGTGTGACTGGGGGTTGAAATGTCATTCAACCCAATCACTTCCGTTCCTGACTTGGAATGGAAGATAGTAGTCAGGACAACTCTCATCCAGTGAAAGCACCGGGGAAAGGACATCAGCGAAACAAAACACCCAATGACACTCCCAACGGCGGTGCGGTTGCTGACGGCGAGCGGAACGGACGCAAAAGCTCTCTTCCTTCAATCTTTTTCCTCCCCTCCCGTAAGGTTCGATGATGCCGAGTGGGACACGATGAATGGCTGGATTGCATGGACCCGAACCCACAGCCGGGGGATTGGGCGATCCTGAAAGTCTCATCTAACCCGATCCCTCTTAGTCGCGGTCCGTCAAGACTCCAGACAACGTAGAAGTCGCAGCTTAGCGCCTTAGGCAATCAAGCACGTAGCGGGCGGAGTCCCGCCGGTCTCTTCCGCCGTCGTCCATTCGGTGTGGCCCGGGAGCTCGGAACTGAATCGTCACCATCCATACCCGTGTTTTCCTTGGTACTCGATCCTACTGGCAGCCTAGGAGAGTATCTCGAGCCATTTTATTTCTTCTCTGACTGATGATAAGAGATCTCATTATTGAGAAGATTGCCTTTTTACTCCCGAGTACAATGTTATTCTGAGTATGATTATCATCATGATTATTATTATTAGCTTCGGATGGGAATTTTAACACTAGTGTCGAAAAGATATACCGCTATTTTCCCGAAGTTTTGATGGGGCTTATGTTATGATCCCTTCTGATTGCATCAATTCATATCAGATAGGAGGAAAGATACCAATCTAGGGACTGATTCTGAAACCCCTTGCATGGCCGGCCGATTGGTCGGACAATGACAACCTCAAATTCCAGGGTTTTCCGTGACGAGGTTTATTTAATATTGAAATTCTTCGAAATTAATAGACAGTACGGAGTAACAAAAACCTGTTTTGTCCCCATCTTTTCTTTGAGGTATAACTCCCGAGGCGCACCAACACCAAACGGAGGAAATTGGTACAAATGGAAAGGTCCCCTCCGAGACCAACTCAACTTGCCGCTCCGCCCGTAAGGGTGTTGCCTAAGCTCAACCTCCATTGGGTAAAGGCCGACTGGCTGTGGACTGGATTTCATACACGCTAGTACGAGATGGGAGTAAGGTATGGTCACCGTGGGCCGTGTGACGCGCAGCAATTGTGTGTGTTCTCAGAGTTTTTTCCTTCCCAGTGATGTTCAGAGGCCTGTTCCCGTGACTTCAAGGTTCCTTTCTCACGGTCACCTTACCTGCCGCTGACCTACTACTGCTGCTATTATTGTTGAACCACAGAGGCACAGCACATTTGTTCTCTTGCCGCTGACCTACTGAATCGGCCCCCTCCTCGAAAATCCCTCATACACCCCGTCCCCCTTCCACCCCATCCTTTCCTGCAATTTGACGGACCAACCAAGTTCAAAGTGGGATCCGGTCTCTCTCACCACGCACCCACTCCATTGCAATTCTAGACAATTCCCCTCATCGGTTCCCCTCTCTTTTGTCTTACTATCTCTTCCCCTCTCTATAATATAACCGAGGAAAATAAATCAACAAATAAAAACCCGAAAAATTAAAAAACAAAATCAAAAAACTTTGTCCCAGCCAAGCATGTCCGAACGAGGATCTTTCCGTGGAGGTCGTGGCCGCGGCGGAGGCCACGACAGGTCTGGCGGCCGTGGCGGCCATGCCAAAAGTGGCGGTGCCGGTGGCGGTGCGCAACAGCAAGAGAAGCCCAAAAAGGAAAACATCCTCGACCTCAGCAAGTATATGGACAAGGAGGTTCGGGTGAAGTTCAATGGTGGCAGAGAGGGTAGGTCCACTCCTGTCATATCGGCTTTCTATTTTATTGTATTTTTTATTTTTACTTTTTACTTTCTTGGATCCACTAACCAGTGCATAGTCGTCGGCACCCTGAAGGGATTTGATCAACTGATGAACCTGGTTCTTGACGATGTCAAGGAATCTATGCGCGGTAGGTGACTCTGGTGTCTGTCTATTGTCTCTACTTAACTCTAATGGTCTGTGAATAGATGACGAGGGCAACGAGAACACTCGTTCTCTTGGTTTGATTGTTGCTCGTGGTACAATCATTGTGCTCATCTCACCTGCCGATGGCAGCGAAGAGATTGCCAACCCCTTCGTCCAGGCGGAGGAGTAAATGAAATCTCATACGACGGATAACAGTGGCCACTCCTGGCTCCTGGTCTTACACCTTTGGTCTTTGCGGATTTCAGGAAGAGTCCCCCTGCTCTCATGCGATACCAATCACAGCAATTGCGGAATGTATTCTATTGATCTTTGCACGCTTGGACTGGTGTCGCCCTACTTCTTTACCCATACCCTCTATCTATCAAACTTGCTAGCTCCCCACCTGGCAAGTCTTAGTCTGTCTCCACAAAGGCCGAGTATGATCTCCGCCTTTGGCATATTGTTAATATGAAGCGTCTGAAAGCGAATGGTCGGAAGCAGTTAAACGCAAAAATAAAAAATAATGAATCACGAGTCATGAAGTCCATGGCATTATTTACCCGCGTAGCTTTGTTCTACGAAGAGTGATCACTAAGATATGTTCCTCATGGCGTGACCGTGCTAAGCCTGTGACATCATTTATATGACAGTAAGCTAGTGTCATGGAACTCCAGAGCTAAATCACATTTCCGGCCACAAATACGATTACGAATGCTCTAGACCGTCACAGATTGGACAGCCTAAGGTGGGCATGTTCAAGGATCCTGATCAATCGGCTTTGTTGGAAAGTCTAACGCTGGTGCTTATTATATTTTGAAGGCTGCCTATATGCTAACATAAATAGAGCCTAATCCCGTTGATCAGCTACGACCTAATCTCCTTATCATTTTCATCTCGGCACCCTAAGTGATACTATACTAAATCACCATGAGGGTCCATCTCTGGCCGGTGGCAGTAACAGCCACCCTCTCCTCGGCCTTATTCATTCCCACCCCCCAACAAGCCCTAAGTGACCTCGACCTCAACAGCATAGAAACAAACGATAAGGCCGCCCTCGACGATTACCTCCTCCAACTCTCAGTATTGGACGCCGCATCCGAAATCCAAAACACTGACCTAGACAACACCCTCACATCCCTCTTCGACACAGAAGACTACGACTACGACTACGACTACTTCGATGAGGACGACTATGGCAACTCAGAATACCTCCCCGAGGACATCACCCAACTGCCCCCCTTCTCCCAACTATACCCACACCACCCGCCCGCCGACAAGACTATCTACGAGCTCATCACCGAAAGCAAATATACCACCATCCTGGCGAAGCTCGTCAAAGAAGACGAGGAACTAGTCCAGCTCCTCAACTCGACAGAAACAAACCACACGTTCTTCGCGCCCACAGACGACGCATTCAAGAAGATCCCGCACCACGATGACCACAAACCACCCAAGGAGCTCATTCGCGCCGTCATCAAGTACCACCTCGTCCCGGGACTCTGGAACGCGCGCACCGTCTTCCACAGCCACACCCTACCGACTGAATTGGAAGCTCCAGCACTTGGCGAGAAGCTCCCACAGAGACTGTCCGTCCGAGCAGGCTGGAGAGGTCTAACGCTGAACTTCTACAGTCGGGTCGTAGCCCCCGATATCGTAAGTCCATTCGCCCGCCCAATCTCCCCTCAACGAAAATCAACCCCAGCCGCCAAGAAAAATAAAAGAAAGAAACTAACAATCCCAGCCCGGCACCAACGGCCTCATCCACGGAATATCAAGCCTCCTCATCCCACCCCCAACCACCAAAACCCTCCTCGACCTGGTTCCCACAAAATTCAGCACCTTCGATCTCGCCCTCCTCAAAACCAACCTCACCGTCCCCGAAAACAAAGACCAAGATGGCAACAAGAAAGGCCACACGATCTTCGCCCCCTCAAACGCAGCTTTCGGCAAACTGGGTCTCAAGATCAACGCCTTCTTATTCTCGCCCTACGGCCAGAAATACCTCCTCGCGCTACTCAAGTACCATATTGTTCCGGACCGGACGCTGTACTCGGATGTCATTTACACGGAGAAGGGGGAGATCCGGCCGTTTGGAGTCCAGGGGTTCACGCATTTGGATCTGCCGACGTTGTTGGGGGAGAGGAGGTTGAGGGTTGATGTGGCGCGGTTTGGACCGTATGCTTCGTTGAAGGTTAATGGGTTTCAGCGGGTGGCGGTTGCGGATGTGTTGGGGCGGGATGGGAATGTACATATTGTGGATGAGGTGTTGGTTCCGCCGAGGAAGGTGGCGGCGGAGTGGGATGAGTGGAACGAGGAGTTGACGGTGGAGGATCTGAAGGAGCGGCTTGCGGGGTGGGTGGACGATGATCATGATGGGTACAATGAGGGCGTGGAATTGTGGGCTCATGCGTTTGACTTGTAGTTGGGAGTCGTTTGCTGGGTTCGAGTCTCGTTTAGACTGAACTACTTTTAGGATGTCAAAAGTTGGCTCTACGAGATAAAGACCTACATGCTAGGTCTACCGAGTCAATTCCAGTAATGTGATATGTCTGTAATCAATTGCATCTGTATCTTGGTTCGTATATCAATGGCATCATATTTTCAAAGCAAGCAAACATCAGTTGCCAGGTTGCAATAAAATCAACACGGAGATTTGTATGATTCCAGCTTTCCGCACAGATAAAGCATTGGTAAGTCGGCCGTGAGACTCAGTCTTCTGAGAGCAGGTTTCTAAAAATGTATCCTCCAAAATAAGAACCATGTGCAAAGACATCGCCAGATCATTTCATACGAGATATCTCCTTAACCTAGTTCCGTCCGCATATATAAGTAGTCTCCCCTGCGTGGGAAAAAATCCATCATGGAATTGGCCCTCGGTAGGGCTGTTTAATGAAGCCTTCTGGTTGGCTTCAGGAGCGCCTGAAATGACGACTCCAATGCTTTCTTGATGTCTTTGTAGCTAACGACAAAGCAACTTTGTTCATCGCGACTCACCAAGGTGATTTTCTCATCGGTGCCCGCATCCAACTTATTCAGACAGGAAAGCACATGACCAAGGTCCACGACCGGGTCACCCTGAGCATCAACTTGATGGAAAACGTAGTCGCGGAACATCTTGAGGAAGTATCGCTCCCCGTTCTCTGACCACTGCCGGTCGTGCTCATACTCCGGCCGCTCGTTGACGAAGTTCAACTTGGTCACCAGACGGACCAAACGGCCATTCTCAAGTTCCCGGCTCAAGTCCGACGTCAGTTCATCATCCATATGAAGCGCTGAGTCGAATGTTGACATTAATTGTGAAGAAATGCCAGTTATGAAGATGTCAATATTTCGGTCTTGATCCTTTTGCAGTCCATTTAGCAACCAGAACACCGAATTTTTGAGTTGTGGACTGTAAGCACGGGTGAAATGCTCCATAGCTTTGGTGGGGTTATGCATGACACTGGGCGTATTGGCGCCCAAAGTCATAATGAGTTGCCCGAAATTAACCAGGTCCTGGCGTTGGAGGTCTGCCATTGACCGCTGGGTATCATACTGGACCACATCCATGATAGCACAGGCGTTCAGGCGAATGCGGTTCTTGCCGGTGACGAGAACTTTACTGGGATCAAGAATCCTTGCGGCAAGCCCGTTGCTGTGGATGGCCTTGAGGCCGTTTGCGATCTGGGTCATATACCCCCACAGGACCTGCTCCGGAATGTGCGTATTATGCCGACCTTGAAACCTATTCCCAGCACCCAAGTGTTGTTCGGCAAGTGTTTTGGAGAGAGGGTGGTAGTCAGTGACAAAGATCAGCGAGCTGTCTTGGAAGCTCCTGCTGGTAAACGCATCGTGGACCGTTACTACGCTTCCATTACATACTCGTTTCCACGCCTGAACCGATCGGATCGCTTTCTCATTTGTCAAGCGAAAACCTTGGGGGCGAGTCAGCTGGAAACTTTTTATAACAACAATAGAAGAGGAGTTCACCTTCTAGTCTTCGAAGAGCATAGAAATTACCATCTTTGCCGGACTGCGCTTTGTATACCCAACTGGGGAAGCCAAAAATGGTTGCGTTCTTCTGATGATTTAAGTCCAATGGGACAAGGGAATGGAAGTAATCGACTTGAGCGGGTAGTTGGGTGTCTGGCTTCTAGTCAGTTCCGTTGGATATGGTTCATGAATAGAATCAACATACTTGGCAAGGTTTGTAGTGTAGCTGCGGCTTTCTTCTGCAGTTCCTCCCGGAAGTCATTGGGAAGGAAAAGATCATGAACATTCCGTTGGTAACCCAGCGTGTTTTGGCTATGAGGGCCAATAGGAGCGTACAAATGGTACTGGACCTGCAACAAGGATGATAATGTAAGACAAGCCCGCAGTTTCAAGTGGCTAGAGACCTACTGGTTGCTGGAAGCCAGACTGTCCGGCGAAAAATGCGCCGCCCAGCGCAGCAGCAGCCGCCGCAGTATCATGTGCAAAAGGGTTTGCCTGGACTGGTCCGACCGCACTCGCAGCGGAAAGGGGGTTCGAAGCTGTCACAAAAGGGTCAAATGGGCTCGTCGAAGGAACACCACCGTTACTATTTCCTTGGAGAGAGGCCTGGGAACGTGCGTTAGTCGGGGTATAAGGAGAAGGACCCGTAGAGGGTGTCGATTCTGGTGGAAATTGACAAATGGGAGAGGTATAGATGGTCGCAGGCATGTAGCCGCAGTCCATCCAAACACCCCGCATTTTTGATAGCAATAGAGTTGCCTAATCTAACAAATGCACGATGCCAACTACCGATAGTTTCGGTAACTTTGTCGACAGGAATTCTTAAATAGGCAGAGTGGCAGGGTGTGGGGTTAACAAAAGCAAAAGAGTGAATTGCATGGACAAGGGAATTTATTTTATTTTCGGTTTTTTGTTTGCAATTTCACTGGGAAGGTGCAGCCTTACCATGTGGGTAGTATCGAAGCCCTGAGGCACGAATTCCTGCACTTCAGCCACAGACCAGTCCGGCGTCATTGTTTCAGCACGGCCCGACGGGGTGCTGGTATTGGATCCTGCTTTGAGTCAGTGGGCAATGGTGCACCAATAAAGTGAAGGTTCATCATGACATACGTGAAGTTATATTCCTTGGTTGAAACGGAGCTGCATTGGCAGCTTTGGGGGATATTGTTGCGGCTTTCTTCGCTGTAACTGCAGTTGTAGTTGGCGAAGAGCCGTTGGAGGATAGTAGGGAGGGAGTAAAGCTCGGGGAGTCGACGTTCAACCGTCTTCTACTGTTGTTGTTACTGGTACAATCCACGTAAGTCATTGTCACTACAGGTCGAAGCTGAACTTTTCATGCAGAGAAGTTCAGTTCGCTGCCCGGGTATGCCAACCTGTCGGATTGATATGTTGTATTCACTTTATGCGGGTCATGATTGAAGGCGCATCCTTTCGGGAATAAATGCCAAGGTCAGATGAAGTTCGTAATGATGATACATGCGGTAGTGGGCTAAGGGACTATCGCGGCACCTTTATCTTCATATCGACAACGACCGTATATGGTCACATTTCGACATAGGGTATCTTTCGCATTCTCTACCAAGCCAACAACACATCGTGTCAGGTCAACTAAAATTCCCCACATTGTGAATCCAAATGTATGTCGGACTAACCTCGTGCCTTCATTTTAGGTGATCCCGTCGCCCGGCGGGAGTCATCCAGGGCAGGCTTCCCTGCGGAAGCCATTGTATCTCAATCCACGATTCGGTGGGGGATTAACGTAAAACGATATCCATTGACTCAGAACAAAGAAAAACCGGACGACCGAGTATATCTAGAGGAAACCACATTCCTCTACTGAATGAATCTGCAGCCTAATCCAACCAGTGGGTGACACTTGCGTCACGCCCGTGAACAAAGGGTTTTGCTAGGGCAATTCGCAAGTAGCCAAAGACGGATACGTATGTATTTCCAAATTGCGCCGCCCTCAACGCGAGGGAATATACAATCTAACAAAAAGAGCCGATGGATCACCACCCGAAGACTAGGAACATAACGCCGTCTTCATGCCACGGATGGGTTGAAGAGGGTTTCGCGAGGCGACATGGGGATAAAAGGGCCTGCGGGGAGAGGGGAGGGAATGGAATGGGATGGTCTGTGAGTGTCCAACTCCGGAATGGCCTGTGCACGGACCATGTACTGTCACCAAGCGCGCGTCTACCGCTAAACTCGAGGCGGCGATGACGGAGCTCTAGTAAGAGGACAGCTAAGTCATCGACGTTGACCAGTAGTCACTACCCTGGTGTATTTTGCGTCTTTGGACTTCCTGGCACCTTTTCCTTTGAAAAGTCTTTCATTCAGCCATTTTGTATTCAAACATTTTCAAGCTCATTCCCTGAGTCACTGCTACAGTCAACGCCATTAGCTACGAGGACCTCTCCGTTGATCCCGACGAGCCTCTTGCGACAGCGATTCCTTTAATTGTATGGATCGAGCCATTGGTTGACAATGACCTCTTCGGGGCTTGATATCTCCCAGCTCTCCGACAGCGAAAGGTCTGCTCTAGACACCTATATAGCTGTAACGGGTCAGGAGCCGTCGGAAGCTATTCCCTTGTTGCGCCGCTCACAATGGAATGTACAGGTATGGCCGACCTTATCTGGAACAAGTTGGCTGAGTGATAGCTGTGGCTAACACATCAAATCGAAGATCGCCATCTCGAAGTTTTTCGATGGGGAAGGTCCAGATCCAGTCGAAGAAGCCCGTGCAGCTCTCAATACCCCTCCTCGACCTAATCGTCAAACACAAAATCTCATGACAGATGACCTCACCGCAAACTTCACCTCGGCTGTGCGTGCCGCCGATCCTGCTCCCCGAGTCGAGACTCAACCAGAAGGACAACCGGTTTATCGTCCGCCTTTCCTACTAGCTCTTCTGTTCACCCCGATCAATCTTCTATACCGATTACTTTACAGTTCCTTCCGCCTTTTTGGAACTCTGTTCCCTTTCCTTCCCCGTTTCTTCAATACAACGGCCAGCTCAGCTCTTCACGGTACACAACGGAACACCAATGGACGCCGGCCGCTGGGGCCTAAAGACACGGCCGCCAGGTTCATTCGAGAGTTCGAGGAGGAATACGGGGCCAACACGCTGCCTTTCTTGGAGAATGGATACAATATGGCTCTAGAAAAAGCCCACCGTGATCTCAAATTTCTTCTCGTAGTTCTCCTGGCCCCTGAGCATGATGACACGAACGGTTGGGTCCGAGACACCCTCTTGTCCCGGGAGGTTATCGATTTTGTCAATGACCCGCAAAACGACGTCATTGTATGGGGAGGTAATGTACAGGATTCGGAGGCATACCAGGTCGCAAACTCTCTCCGGTGTACCAAGTTCCCCTTCGCAGCTGCCGTTGTTCACACTCCCAATGTATCCTCGACGGCAATGTCCGTCGTCTCTAGAATATCTGGAACTACGTCGCCGTCAGAGCTTACTGAGAAACTACGAACCGCCATTTCACAGCACAAGGAGCCTCTAGAGAGGATCGGGGCCACTCGGGCCGAGCAACAGGCTTCCCGCAGTCTACGGGAGCAACAAGACTCCGCCTACGAGCGTTCATTGGCCATTGACCGGGAGCGAGCGAGACAAAGACGGGAAGCTGAGGCAGCTAGACAACGGGAGGAACAAGAGGCTGCAGAGCGCCAAGCCGCGGAGGAGAAGCGGCTCCACGATTTTCAGCAGTGGAAGCGTTGGCGGGCACAGGCTATCCCGGACGAACCGAGCGCGGATGTCAAAGATGCCGTTCGTGTTAGCATTCGACTGCCCTCAGGCGAACGTGTTATTCGGAAGTTCGCGCCAGAAGCTGACCTTGAAGAGCTATATGCATATGTCGAGTGCTACGATATCCTGCAAGAGTCCCACGAGAAACCCACGGATGTTGAGAAGCCAGATGGGTTTGAGCATCAGTACGGGTTTCGACTCGTTTCCCCTATGCCCCGGGTTATATATGAAGTCGGGGCCGGAGGGACCATCCGAGACAAGGTCGGTCGAGGAGGCAATCTCCTTGTCGAACCGATCGACGACGAAAGTGACGAGGAAGAAGAAGAGTCGTAGATCTCACTATGGGGCTGTACTAGTACTGTATGCATACTAGCCGAGGGCAATTCATGGAGTCAAACTAGACCTGTCTAACTAGTCTCTTTCAAATTTGACACGATAATGATCACGAACAATATCGAGTATGTTGGGTCGACGATGTCCCCTACATCTGTAAATCATAACATCTTCCAAAAGGATGCCTCGCCTTGGTACCGAACCGGCAACCGGTTTGAAGCTTGTTGTTGAAAGCTAGGCCCACTTGACTCTCTCAGAGAGGGAAAGGAAGATCTAGATACATACCAAGCATAAATATTCTTATGGATAAGAGCCCGGGGAGCATGCGTACCACATTGCGCTAAAGTGGTCATTTGAGGATCTGGTCGTGCTTCGTACTTGCATGTAACAGTGTTCCTGGAGTGGCACGGCGATTATCTAGCATATAGCCCTAGGCGGCGGCTCCCAGTCCAGTACCACCAAAATTCACAACAATTGGTCCTTCATCCCCTTACACCTTCCAAGGACAGAGCTTCCTTGCCTCGTATTTGGTCTCCGTAAACAGAGGCAACGAGAAGGATTCCCACCAAGTTGCAAGATTAGCGTGTTGGTGTCTTTGATACAGACGTAGGTCCGGGAGCTGTTCAAGCTCCCTAAGTCGGTAAAAAAAATACCTGATTGCGGCTTCCACCTGTAATACAGAAGGAAACAAGGTCGATATGCCCGTGGAAGATCAAATAGAAGTTGCTGCAGGACCTTGACCTATAGTTCTGGAAGACTACATACATGTACACTTTTGCAGAAGTGGAAGGCTGTTGGTGGCCTTGTGGTCTTCATATCGCTATTGCAGGATATTTTCTATAGATTCAACAACTTCACGGTATCTAGTATATAGAAACCACATACTTTAGATATAATATTAACAGCCCGAGGACTTTACGGGCCGACCACCAAAATTGCTAATACCTACTAGATACGCCATCATCTCCACTGCACCATTTGCATTTAATGAGGACAAAGTTTTTGCCCGCAGAGAGGTCATCATACGCAGCAGCCTTCTTAGATGAACGACTCCGGGGACGACATTGTGTAGAACGGTGATCTTAGGGCTCATTTAACATCCTCTCTTATACTTTAGCAAGGAAACTAGACATCTAATGAATGTGCATATAGAATAGATCAAGATCTACCAAAAACCCGAGATGGACAAACATATGTATTTTCGTGTTATATGAACAAGTTAATCTAGAATTGCATAAGCGGCAAGGCATCGGCACTGAAATATCTGTCTTGCGGTACGCAGTAAGTTGAGCCACTGTGCCTACAATACAGTTGATAAGATGGCGTGCTTAGCCTGGGTACGGGACGAGCCTTAGTTCAACTGGAGAATACTCCTCAACACTGCCACAGTCGCCGTCAGTCGGTCACAAGGGCCAAGCCCTTCTGAAAGTTGAATCCTCGGCGTAATCACTTGTAATATAGCACATCCAATAGTCTTGTTCCCACTGTGTCCGAGAGAGCCCGAGGCCTCCACTTGGATATCCTTGCATATGTCCTGTATCTTTAGGCTTAACCTGGGCCACTATTGTCGTTGTATGTTATGCTATTGTGATATATACCAGTTGGCGGTGTACCAAACAAGGCCCGAATGTGACAGATCCCGAGATACAAAGCTTCTCGACTTTGATGCAACCGAGGTCTAGTTAGTTAACTAAAGCATGATCCCAATTAGGCAACATCGATTAGGCACAAGTTGATACGTATGTAGAATGTGTTATACATATGATGCCTTAACTCCGCTCTATCTCCAGATTCACGGTAGCATAAATAAAGCTGGGATTGAGGGTATGTACAATTTATCCGGTAATGTGGACCCCCGACGGAGACGTGATCATTATCCAGATCTAGGTAGGCGCGTCATGACCATGTTCTTCTCCAACTCTAAAGAAGGTTCGGAATTCAGATAGATCTGTGGAGGAATGTGTCTGAATGTTATCCACTCAACCGCGGTCATGAGGGCCCGAGGCATACATATGTGGGGAGGATATCCTTCGTTGACAGGAAAACCTGGGGGTCGGTGTGGAAAGTGCATCCAATAGACAATCCATACATCAAAGAAAGCATCATCTTTAGGTTATCAGAGCTTACATCAGCTGCCCGAAAAGGGCAATCGCTGGAATGCAGCACAGAATGCAGCTAGAATAGGACCATAATAGATAAACCGAAGGATCTCGGATCTGGCGCACCCGATACTGTACCGTAAAGGAGGCGAAGAACCCGGACATCGGATTTTGAAGTTCCCGCCCCACCTTCCACCGAGACTAAACTCCTTGAAGTCAATGCACCAGGTTTCAGGCTCAGGAAAGTCTTCGTTGCCACGTTTTTCGAGTTTTTCGAGTACAACGGAGAATTTTTTTGGCCATCATTTGCCTTTCTTGGCGACAATGTATACGGGGGATACGAATCGTACGCGATGTTCCACATTCCATGTCTTGTCGAATTATGGGCATACCAAGCTCATTGCGCAACCCGACTATGTAACACAATTGTTTTCTTTTTGTATTTCTTTCACAGCACAATTCAATTGTGATCAACGTCGGTGTAACCGATGCATCTTGATATTGAGCCTCACCCGATGTGTTGTCCTCCATACGCGAAACCGCCAATAACCTGCGCAGTATGGGTTTTAACCTTTTAAGGTGCTTGCGAGAGTCAGGATAACTATCGATGAGTAGACATGAGTCATTATGCAATCTGTTCTCAGACACATGGATCAAGTCAGCCTTAAGCGGAAATGCTCGTAGCTTTTTCATGGACATGCCCCATAAATGGCAAATAGAGCTGACCAGTGGTGACCCAATGAATCCATGATATCTGCTTTAATTACCAGAATAAGAACGGGATTCGCTTATCCTGTGACCCGGGTGTATTGTACGCACCGGAGTGAAATACTCGGCTCTGCCGTATTGATGATGGGTCCGGACGCCTAAATTTCCAGGACCCGATTCGCCTGCTCGTTGAATTCTTTATTCTCATTTGTTGGAGTTAAATTTGACGAGTGGCCCAGACTCTGATCCGCCTAGTCTTTTCATTAGACTCCCTTTCCTTCGTCTGGAATGGAAATCAGAAACAAATACGGAGTTGGCCGTAGCTAGTATAAAGGGACCTTTATTATTAGATGGCACCCTCCTCCTTCCCCCCCCTGATTATCTACGTTCTTTTCTTTTACAGATCTGAACACATGGACGAACTCTTATAATAATAATAATATATATATACTAATATATACCCCTTATACCCCGGCACGGTCGTTTACTTTCCCTTTTCAGTACCTTTTAATACTACCTCGAGACTGGACGTCTCTACCTTCTAACCACCATGTCTCTTCTGGGGACTATAAACCCTAATCTCGACCCCGCCCGAACAGTTGGTGCTCAAAGTGAAGCTCCTGTGACCGGAGGGGAGTCATTGGCGATCTTCGATGAAAACGACAGCGCAAGAACGTCCGATACCGCTTTGGACAAAGATGGATCCAAATACGATGAGGAGATCGCAGAAGCGGAGGTCACACGCCTGGCACAGCAACTGACGCGTCAATCGACGAGATACTCTGTCAGCCAGAATGTGGAGAATCCATTCCTGGAAACCAAGGAGGATTCCACTTTGAATCCTCTCGGCCCCAACTTCAAGGCAAAGAACTGGATGAAGAATCTGTTAGCCCTTACGTCTCGTGATCCGGAAAAACACCCCAGGCGTGAAGCTGGTATCTCGTTCCGCAATCTCAGCATTCACGGTTATGGAAGTCCGACGGATTACCAAAAGGATGTGTTCAACATGGTCCTTCAAGCTGGTGCCCTGTTCCGTGCGATCACTGGCACAGGTAAGCAGAAGATTCAGATTCTGCGTGACTTCGACGGCCTCGTGAAGAACGGCGAGATGTTGGTCGTGCTAGGACGACCTGGAAGTGGATGCTCGACTTTCTTGAAAACGCTCGCTGGTGAGATGAACGGTATCTATATGGACGATAAATCCGAATTGAACTACCAGGGTATTCCCGCCAAACAAATGCGGAGACAGTTCCGTGGTGAAGCTATCTATAACGCCGAAACCGATGTCCACTTTCCTCAGCTGTCTGTTGGTGATACCCTGAAGTTCGCTGCACTTACCCGTTGTCCACGGAATCGGTTCCCCGGCGTCTCAAGAGAGCAATACGCCGAGCATATGCGCGATGTTGTGATGGCCATGCTTGGTCTTACGCATACCATTAACACAAGAGTCGGTAATGACTTTGTCCGTGGTGTCAGTGGTGGTGAGAGAAAGCGTGTCAGTATTGCAGAGGCGACTCTCAGCGGCAGTCCTCTCCAGTGTTGGGATAACAGTACCCGTGGTCTGGATAGTGCAAACGCCTTGGAGTTCTGCAAGACCCTGAATCTGATGACGAAATATGCTGGTGCCACAGTTGCAGTGGCCATCTACCAGGCTTCTCAGAGCGCTTATGATGTCTTCGACAAAGTGACTGTTTTGTATGAAGGTAGACAGATCTACTTTGGTCGCACAGATGAAGCAAAGGAATTCTTCACCAACATGGGATTCGAATGTCCAGAGCGTCAAACGACTGCCGATTTCCTTACCTCCCTTACCAGTCCATCTGAACGTATTGTGAAGAAGGGCTACGAGGGCAAGGTTCCACGAACCCCAGATGAATTCGCTGCTGCCTGGAAGAACAGCGAGGCACATGCGAAATTGATAAGGGAAATCGAGGAATATAACCGGGAATTCCCACTGGGTGGTGAATCAGTTCAGAAATTCATTGAGTCCCGCAGAGCAATGCAGGCGAAGAACCAGTAAGTTCATTGGCAAGATGCAAGAAATCTCTCTGGGTGCTAATCGTATCTTCTTGCAGGCGCGTGGGGTCTCCGTATACAGTGTCCATCTATGAACAGGTCAGACTCTGCATGATCCGCGGGTTTCAACGTCTTAAGGGTGATTCCAGTTTGACCATGAGTCAATTGATTGGAAATTTCATTATGGCCTTGATTATTGGAAGTGTTTTCTACAATTTGCAACATGATACGTCAAGCTTCTATTCGCGTGGCGCTTTACTTTTCTTTGCTGTGTTGCTTAACGCATTTTCCAGTGCGCTCGAGGTATGTGCAGTTATTTCTCCTCATTGGCTTTGAGACAACACTAATCAGTTCACCGCATAGATTTTAACTCTGTACGCACAACGTCCCATTGTCGAGAAACAGGCCCGTTACGCAATGTATCACCCGTTCGCCGAAGCTATCGCATCTATGCTTTGTGACATGCCCTACAAGATCGCAAACGCAATAATATTCAACATTACTCTCTATTTCATGACGAATCTTCGCCGCGAGCCGGGCCCATTCTTCGTGTTTCTTCTGTTTACTTTTGTGACTACGATGACCATGTCCATGCTTTTCCGTACGATAGCCGCCTCTTCCAGGACTCTCTCTCAAGCTTTGGTGCCTGCCGCCATCCTTATTCTGGGTTTGGTTATCTATACCGGTTTCACCATCCCTACTCGGAATATGCTTGGTTGGTCGCGATGGATGAACTACCTTGATCCCATTGCCTATGGCTTTGAAAGCTTGATGGTCAATGAATTTCACAACACCAAATGGAAATGCTCTGCCGCAGAGCTTATCCCAACCTACAAGGATGTCCCTCTGGAGTATAAGATTTGCTCTACAGTCGGTGCTATTGCTGGTTCTGAATATGTTTACGGCGACGACTACCTCCGGGAGAGTTTCCAATACTACCAGAGCCACAAGTGGAGAAACCTGGGTATCATGTTCGCCTTCATGGTGTTTTTCATGATCACCCATTTGGCTGCTACTGAGTTCATTTCAGAGGCTAAGTCCAAGGGTGAAGTTCTGCTCTTCCGCCGTGGTCATTATTCTCGTGGTGCGGCTGATGTTGAGACCCACAACGAAGTATCTGCCACCGAGAAGACGGACGAATCCAGTGCCGGCGCAGGTGCTGCGATTCAGAGGCAGGAGGCCATTTTCCACTGGCAGGATGTGTGTTACGACATCAAGATCAAGAATGAACCTCGGCGCATTCTCGATCATGTCGATGGCTGGGTCAAGCCCGGTACTTGCACCGCTCTCATGGTAAGCTTACTGTCGTGACCTCGTTATATTTTTCTTCTGTTTCTGACATTGTTATATAGGGTGTGTCTGGTGCTGGTAAAACAACGCTCCTGGATGTACTTGCTACTCGTGTGACAATGGGTGTGGTAAGTGGTGAGATGCTGGTCGATGGCCGTATACGTGATCAATCTTTCCAGCGAAAGACGGGTTATGTTCAGCAACAAGATCTTCACCTTCATACCACCACTGTGCGTGAGGCCCTGAGATTCAGTGCTATCCTTCGCCAGCCTGCACATGTTAGCCGTCAGGAAAAGCTCGATTATGTCGAAGAGGTTATCAAACTGCTTGGAATGGAAGCGTACGCAGATGCGGTCGTCGGTGTTCCTGGTGAAGGTAAATTCCCGTCACTCTGCCTATATTCTCTTTCCGTGCATTCATATATTTCGTTCATGTCTAATATGGTACAGGTCTGAATGTTGAACAACGGAAGCGTCTGACTATCGGTGTTGAATTGGCTGCCAAGCCCCAGCTGCTTCTGTTCCTCGACGAGCCCACGTCCGGTCTGGACAGTCAAACTTCGTGGTCTATTCTTGATCTTATTGATACCTTGACTAAGCATGGTCAAGCCATTCTTTGCACCATTCATCAGCCTTCCGCTATGCTCTTCCAGCGCTTTGACCGTCTACTCTTCCTGGCTAAAGGTGGTAAGACGGTGTATTTCGGTGAAATTGGAGAAAAATCATCTACTCTCGCGAGCTATTTCGAACGAAATGGTGCCCCGAAACTTCCTCTTGAGGCAAACCCAGCTGAATGGATGCTTGAAGTTATTGGTGCCGCTCCCGGGTCACACAGTGATGTTGACTGGCCTGCCGTGTGGCGTGAGAGCCCTGAGCGCGAAGCTGTCCGCAACCACCTTGCAGAGCTGAAATCTACGCTTTCACAGAAGTCAGTTGATCCTTCTCACACCGATGGAACTAGCTTCAACGAATTCGCCGCACCCTTCAGTGTCCAGCTGTACGAGTGTCTCGTCCGCGTGTTCTCTCAGTACTGGCGGACACCAGTCTACATCTACTCCAAGGCAACTCTCTGCATTCTCACATCTCTCTACATCGGTTTCTCTTTCTTCCACGCAGAAAACAGCAGACAGGGTCTCCAAAACCAGATGTTCAGTATCTTTATGTTGATGACTATCTTCGGTAACCTTGTTCAACAAATTATGCCCAACTTTGTCACCCAACGTGCCCTCTATGAGGCTCGTGAAAGACCATCCAAGGCATACTCCTGGAAAGCATTCATGACAGCCAACATCGTGGTCGAACTCCCCTGGAATGCTCTCATGAGTGTCATTATCTTTGTTTGCTGGTACTATCCAATCGGCCTCTATCGCAATGCTGAAGCCACCGACAGTGTCCACGAGCGTGGAGCCCTTATGTGGTTGCTTATTCTCTCCTTCCTCCTGTTTACCTCTACCTTCGCGCACATGATGATCGCTGGTATCGAGCTCGCTGAGACAGGTGGTAACCTTGCAAACTTGCTCTTCTCCCTGTGTTTGATCTTCTGTGGTGTCCTCGCTACCCCCGAAACCCTCCCCGGCTTTTGGATCTTTATGTACCGTGTTTCCCCATTCACATACCTAGTGTCAGGAATGCTCTCAACAGGTGTCGGTCGTACCACCGCCGTCTGCGAAAAGGTCGAATTCCTGCACCTCACCCCACCACCCAACACCACCTGTTACGACTACATGAGCGATTACATC